GATGTCAGCTCAGACATTGATTTCAAGCAACAGCAGCCACAATAAACTGCCGTGGAATCAGTGACAGCAGATCAGCATCTAGAGAAGATTTTCTGTACAGGTTGGCACAGCTGGAGGTTTGGCCAAAGGCTGCAGACGCCATAGTGAGGCCACAGGCAGAGAAGGTCTTTTGATACAGGTTAGGGTGGGAACATGCTATAACCCGATAAAGGCAAAGGCTCTACCCACTTGTTCCAAAATGACCTGCCATGATTTAGCACAAGCAGGTTTGAGGACAAAGCTCTCAGACCTTTTTAACTCCCACAAAAAAAAAGCATTTATTGAGCTTTAAACAGGACACCAGGTCGTGTTTGGCACGGCTGGCAATAGCGCCTTCTGCCCAGTTCTTTTGCCCACATGCGTCCTCCCACTCCCTGCCCATGGCACGGCTGTCCATCCTTTACCCAACCCCTCATTTCATGACCAAAAAAGGAAAACGATTCCTACTGATTATTAATGTCCAAATCCCTTTTCAAGTTAAGCTGACACTTATTAATTTACCAGCATATATGAATATTACCAAAGCACCTTGGATCATACTCAGTGATATACTGTGCCACTGTGAGCATGTCATACCTGCCCCCTAGTTGTGGCTCCAGGGTATGGCACTTCTCCAGAGTGGCTATTTTGGGAGTGTGTGTTTCTATGTTTATGTACGTGGATACTAGATGTAGCCCTGTAGGATTGGACAGGGCTGCTTAAAGTTGTGCATTTGCATGTGTGTCTGGGAAGGCGATCAAGGGGGATCAATTTAAGTACTAAATGTTTACATTTATCTTTGCATGTGTCTCTGTGTGTGTAAGTGTGTGTTTATGTGTGTGAGGGCAGGAGGAGTGGAGTACAACTATAGGATGATGCAGGGTTTCTTGTCCTTGAAAGGGTTTTCAGAGGTGGGGACCCCGACCAGCAGAGGGTCGCTACGAGCGTGCTGCTCACAGTAACTCATCAGGTCTGCTGCTGTTTTAGACACCTGGCAAGAGAGGGGGAAGTGAGGGAAGGCCAGAGGGTGAGAGAAAAAGGTGAGAGATTTAAATGAGAGGATATGTGGAGAGAAAGTAGAGGTTTGGAAAAAGAAAAAGATGATGTGGACAAGGAAAAAGTAGGAGAGATGAGGATAAATGTAAGAAACAGGAGGAACGAGAGGGGAAAAAGAAAGGAAAGGAAAAGGAGAGGAGAGTAACGAACACATGCATATAAAGACATGTAGCAGTAAATGATGATCCTACCTTAATGCGTTCAATCCCTGCTTCAATCCTCAGCTGTTCCACCAGTTTCCTGGCCTGGGCAATATTATTAGTGGTAGACATACTGATCCATCAGAATACACCAACACACAAGAAAACTAAATGAGAGAGAGAGAGAGAGAGAGAAATCACAAACATGTTTACTATGCAGATAATGATGGATAATTTCATCAAGTACGCTGCCACGCCTTAGGTGGACCAGCAGGCCCAGGCAGAAGACGTACCATTAGAGCAGACTTCACTTTCTGCCAAAGCTCTAACTCAAATATGCTATTTTGCGTGTTTTGAATTTCGTTTACGGTATTGCACAAACAGAAGAGACAGACTGTACCAGATACGTTAATTTCTATCTGAGATCTCCAACGTTTTCCTCCATACTACTTTTGCAGTCACAAGCATTAGACAGAAGTGCTTATTATTGAATAGGGCTGTGGGGTAGGGGGGCTGGAGCCAATTCCAGCTGACATTGGGCGAGAGGCAGGGTCCACCCTGAACAGGTCGGCAGTCTATCACAGGGCTGACACTTAGGGACAGACACCCACACTCACTCCTGCAATGTGCAATGTGCTATTTAGAGTCACCAGTCAACCTAAGCTGCATGTCTTTGGACTGTGGGAGGAAGCCGGAGCACCCGGAGAGAACCCACGCAGGTTCAGGGAGAACATCTAATTAGCATTCACTAAAATACACTGCACTAGTACTGCATTCATAAACTGACTCATCCTTTAAGTCATCGGTAGCTTCACTCAGGGGACCGTATGCTGTAGAGCAACAGCACCAACCTGAGGTCAACACATGGTAGTGCAACAGAGAACCAGCAAATTATGCCAGTTTTCTTGATCGAAATACAGTTCACTGAAGTGATGTTCACAGTAAAAGTAAGAATGAAACTTGATATTTGTGAAGCACTACTGGACTAACGTTGTCATTTATGATGAACATTCTATAGAACTTTTTCAATAAACAGTTTAAAAGCCTGTGTGTTTGTGACTAGAACATAACGAACCCCTAACCCATAAAAGTGTTAATGGTCAGGGCTGAGATGTAATGTAGTGTTTTTACCTGATGATGGTGTGCAGACAGAACTCTCTCTCTGAACACCGGTTGGAGAGGACGTTCTGAGCAGTACTGGGATGGCCAAGTCAAAATGACAGAGCTGGATGACAGCTGAGCTCACATTGGCTTGTCTCTGCGTAAAAGGAGAACAGGTGAGACGAGCAGGTGAGTTGGTTACTGGGTTATAAAGCTAAGCCATATATAGCTGTGTATATCTGGGATGTAAAGATTTTTATGTCAGGCATTGTAAATGGAACTGAATTAGACCCCAAACACAACAATCAAGATTTAGTCCCATGGATGTATAGTACTACATACGGGTAGAATTTGGTGTTTTTAGTAATGAACTGTTCACAGGGTGACATATGCCTTTAAACTGTTATTCTTATATGATTTCTAATTAGAATGAGTATTGGCTTCAATTAGAAGAATGTCTAAGTAGCCCCCATTTTACTTTGAACCTGGAATCACATTCATAGGACTAGGGGTGAATGAAGCTGCACTTCAGGTTTTCACATTTCAATAAAAGAAAACTGCTTAGTACTTTTTTTTTATTGTGATAGAGGAAATTTGCTGTCATCATCATGCTTATCATCCACACTACAGTATCTGTCATCACAAATTCATTTTTCTTCTCAAAGCACCTGTAATATTGTGTAAGTGATCAGATGGCAGGACATTCCTGCATTGCTGATCCAAGACAATGGCATTTTTCATATCTTTGGTGGCCAATTCACAGCCTCTATAAACCTCTTGTTCCTTTCTTTTAGCACAGTGTGAAAGTTTCACCAACAATAAATATGATCAAAATGCACTTTGCTCCTCACATACGTCACTAGTGGTGTGTTACAACTGTCTCTCTGTCTGTCGCCCTCTCTCCCAGGAGGGGAGAGGGCTGCTTTAATTTGAAGTAGCGCAGAGATTCATGTCTGTAATTAGTGCTTGTGTCTGTGAGCGAGCGAGAGAGAAAGAGACAGACCGAGTGAGAGAGAACAGAATTACAGCACCTGATGAAACTATCTACACACACATTTGTAATATTGTACTTGTGAGGACATTCACTGATTGCCCTCCAAACCTCACTCTGATTTCTAATCCCATTTCTACTCTTAACCCTGAGCCAAATCCTTAATCCCTTAGTGGCAAAATGTCCCCACTTCAGATCGGGTTTTCTCACGTCTCAAACATTTCTTTGACATCAAAGAGGACATTGCATTAACTTTAACTGATTTCTTGAGGATTATGGGTGAGTGGATCAATATGGCTGATACCCAAGTCTGATACTAGCTTCACTATACTATAAACAACAGTGTCACATTAGATCACAATATGGGAACATGAATATTTGTTGTTAACAGACATGCTATATTAAGAAATCATAGCATAATGAAAAAGCCTAATATGTGGCAGATTAGGGCACATGGTTCTCCCTACATTAGCTGGTTTTTAAGTAAAAAGCATTGGCATCTATTGATATCTAGGATTCTGGCTTTAGTATTGGATTGAAGTCAGTTTTGGAGTTTTTGAGAGGTATCTCTACATTTCTAGCCCCAACCCTGACCTCACTGTAGCCCTACCAAAAACAAAACAAACAAATTTTAACCCTAAAACATGATGGTTTACTTTGCGGAGACATACATTTTGTCCCCTAATGGGAGACGAGTCCTCTATTATGACTGACACATATACACCTTTTCAATCTCAGTACATATCTGTCAGGGTGTGAGGACTGTCCCTAAATCACTCCATGTGCATCCTCACAACAGCCACTACTTACTGCACAGTAAACACAAACATCACTATACACTACAGTCTCCACAGTTACACGGAAATGAATCAACACCAGGACAGAAACCGGGTGCAATATGTTGTACTGAGCTCTTGTTTTTGTTGCCTAACCTCTATAGTTTCTCTTACAACATCCCTAGGTTAATACTGAAACAAGGTGACTGCACTCGTCTCCCTCTGGGAAGGGACTCTCACGCACTGAAGTTTTTGTGTTGCTGAAAGTGAGAATTCACAAGCAAATGATGGCTTTGTTCAGAAACAAATGCTCAGATGTTTTCTCGTGGATAAGCATAAAAGAAACAAACAACTCGCTGCGATACATTTTAAGAAATAAAGACAACCCACACACACTTTGAGACACTATAGTCTACCTAAGCCCTGCGCTCCGATTTCTTCAGCCTGTTGATTTTTCCAACTTTCTGCTATGGCGCATTTCGTGCTGGGCGAAGGAAGTCGGACTCTCTAAAAGCAACACAAATATGAATTTCTGCCCCTGTAGTCGCATCTCTCCCCTCCTACGCCCCCAGATTGAAAACATTTACTTGAAAAACCGATGCACAGAAAATAAAAAGGCAATGGTTACAGGGTAAATTGGACGTTTATCTTGGCCTGAATCAAAAACATCTCCAGAGCTGATCAGGCCCCGTCCAGCCAGTCAACCAGCCACCGAGCCCACGACCGATCTCAAAACGTACAAAAATGCATCAATCCATATTGATCCTAGCAGCTCCTGAGCACTGACCGGGCCTACAGTACGAAGCCATGTCCTCTGCTACAGGCCCTGCTTGCTGCTGTACCGTATGAAAACACAATGCGGGCATTTTGATGGATAGAACAGCATGTCCTCTATCTCCCATGGCTATCTACTCAGCACACGCACACATGCACATGTATACGCACAAGCGCACAATCACAGGCAGACCTTGTGCACATATCAAAGCCAGAGATATTTCCCATGTGAAGAACAGACTAGACCGCTTCGGGTCTGCAAATAGGCCCTGGCTGTTAGCCGTGGGAGCAGGGTGGTGGCATGTTTGAGGGAGGCAGACTCCAGCAGCTAATATAAACCCATCCAGCGACAATGGGTGCAAGACCGGAGCGCATGCCTTTATGTTCCGCTATTATGCAAATTGATCGGCACACCGCCTACTACAGCATAAAAGATCCAGAGGTTTTTGGATAGAGTGGCTTGTGCGTCTTCAGAGACCAGCCGAGCTGTAGGAAATCTTCCACTGACCCTGTCCCCGGTCCTCCCCACCCTCTCTGCCGGCAAAGGGCTGGGGAAATCCGGATTCGTGACACTAATGGAGCCCCCCTTCGCTGCAGCCGCACTCGGTGAAGAGAAGCCGTGGTTGCAGAAGCGCACAGACACGTTACAATTATTATACACAGGGAGAAAAATATCTCCAAACTCACCTCCGAATGCGCTGTATTGGTGATTTAAAGGGCCAGATCCGCTGGTTTCTCACCCGCTCTGCTCGTTCACTCCCCGTCTTCGCCGAGCCAAACACCTCCCCCTTCGTTACCACTGTCTGTCCACCCCTCCCTCCGATCCGGTGAGAGCAGCTTTAACCCAGGGGCTCCCAAACAAACACTTCTAGACATTCACACGTCGCCTGAATGCATCCTCCTAACATGAGGATTCTGAATGGGCGAATATTCCAGTTATATTCTGGTAGAATATAGTGCAAATCGTCTGTTTTGTTAGGGACCCCTAGTGCCGTAATTCAGAATCCCTGTAAGTTTCATAAGTTTGATGGATATTTTGAAGCGTAGATTGGGTAACACCTGCACGAATAACTTGTTCAAAATTAATTTTTGAAATTGTCCTTCTCTCAGTGGGTAAGCCTTTATTTAACGATGAAATCAAACATGGATCTTGCAGGATCCCACAAGCAGACATAGGACTACTTTTTATATTACATTACATGTCCCTGGCATTACTGACTGCATGTTTTGTAAAATTTTAACACCCTCAATGCACAAACAGTTGAATTTCAAAATGTTTAAGCTTAAAGATGATTCTTAAATAATAATCATTTTGCTTTCTGTTTATACATTTATTAAAGATTAAAGCTGAGACATATATTTACACACAAGACATACTGTAGGCCTACATAAGACTTACAGTATTAATTCTACTTTTAAGTGGGGAATAGAAGTACTTTTCCCCTCCAACTTTAATCCACAGTTCTCAGTTCTACCGAGACCTTTGCTTTTTACTTATCTAACTTGCAACAAATGTGTAACTTTTCTTCTGCCGTTCACATCTGGACCTGTGCACATCACCCAGTGAAAGTGACTCATGTGAGCCCACTGCAAGGTGCTGCCGCACGGTGGCGGCCTTGGCCCACCCGTGGTCCCGTCTTCTCCAGGGAGGTTTGGGCCGGCCTCTCCTTCTATTCCTGGCAGGTCCAGCGCAAACACGCATCCTCTGTTTCCACCGAGCTGTGTAATCCACTCCTCCACATAGAGGCAAAAGTGCTGCATGTACTGCACGATTGTTTGGCTGAATGTGGACAGTTGCTCTGTGGTGAAGGGACCACAGAGCAACTACAGTCTGATGTGTAGGACCTATGTTTTGAAGGTTTAAAGCCTGGAGATGCAGCCAGAGGTAGATTTAGGCACAAGCTGCTTTGATGCGCACACACGTCTACGGTCCAGTCTTCTTCGTGGTTGTATGGAAACCGTTTTTATCTTATTATAACCACAGGAGAGCTATTTATAACCCACAGAGTACCGCATTGGCCTTGTTTCCAACAATGTGTGAAACTGCGCTGATGCCTATACCTTCCTCTTAGATTTCTTCGCCCTTTAAGATGTGAATTTCTCTCTTTCTCCCTCCACTGTTTTCCTTTCCCTCATTTATCTGTCTCGCTTACTTCCTCCTCCTCGGTCTTTCCCTTCTTCCCCCTCCCTCTTGTGTGCGTTGCTGAGGAGGCAGTAGGTTACAATGGATTACAGCAGAGCTTTTCATTTTCTAAGAAATCAGCGGTGGAAGCCCATGAGTCACAACCTCAGGATGCTCGGATGACAAGGGTGGCACCCACCCACACACACACGTGTTTATTTCCTGCCCTCAAGGCTGGTTTGCCAACCAGGCTTTGTGTAACTGTCTACGGGGACCACAGAAGCCCACGATGTACTCTACTCTATTTTTGCCCACACTGTTTAATCACCAATTTGTTAGAAAGGTGCACCAGTGAGGTAGAATATGATGAGGCTGTCATCTTCCATCATGTGGGCCTTGAGCTCACTTGTTGTAAAGTTTATTTTATCAAATTGCTTTGTGTGAGTGTCAAGTAAATAACACTCAGAAGATAGATAGATAGATATACTTTATTCATCCCCATGTGGAAATTCAAAGGGCAAGGCAGAATTAATCCTTTCCAAGAGAGCTGCAAGGCTACAACCAACCATTTTCTACATAATCCCCAACATTTTGAGCTGACTATCATAGAAAACTGGGAAATATTTGATACTTTTGCTTAAAATCATTTAAACAATTGAAACTTTATAAAAATTGTTTCCAGTAATTTTTTGGTTAATCGATTAATCATTTCAATTCTGGTACTAGTTTGTTTCTGGGTTGCCACACTGACCTGGGGGTGGGGGCGGTGAGAGTCTTGATCTGCAGCAGCAGCAGCAGCAGCCTGGGAGACCTCTGTCTAATACATCTCTGTCCCCACCAGGCTCAGACCACACTCTGATGACAACTGTCGTAAGCATCACACTGTCTCCATAGCAACCATACCTGGGACAGCATCCCTAAGCAGATGTCAGAGAGTTCAGAGAGAAAGGAGTGGGAGACTGTGTGGATGTTTTTACATTCATATTTGCAGTGTGGCTTCATACGGTCGTGCTCTGAGATAAATGCTAAGTTTGCCAACACGCTGACTGTGGCCACCATCTTCATTTAACATGATAGTAAACATTTACTCAAGTACTGTACTTAACTACAAATTTCAGGTACTGTACTTGAGTAGTTCCATTTCATGCCACATGTGACTACAAATCTGGGTAAAATAATGCTCTTTTTTCACCACTGTGACAACCCAAATTACTAAAACACTGCAGATTTACTTAAATGACATTTTCATAACAAGACTTGTATTGGCATATTTTAATATTGCAGTATTACTACTTTTACTTAAAGGGCTTGAAAACCTACCCACCACAGTTATCCAGATATTTCCTTCTAAACCAAAAACCTAGTGGCTCTAGATGAAAAGGTAAAGGTCGCCAAAGGTATTGGATTCATCCTATAAGGTGTCCATGAATATCTGTACAAAATATGGCAAACCATGATGACAAGTTATAAGCAAGAGGAGACAAATCAAATCACAAGAAACAAGACTCCTCACTTCACATTTTCATTAGGAAATTTATTTTGCAGATTTGATTATTATTATCATCTATATATATATATATATTTATATATATGTTATTTTCAGTTATTCAGAGGATGCATCAGCACAGTATATCTTAATAGGAAGACTATTGCTAGAATAAATATCTATACATCATAACTAGTTAAATAAAAAAGTCCCAACAGAGAGAGAGAAACAACTGAGAATAAGTTACAAAAAACAATATGTGCTAAAAAGAAATGAACCATTTGCAAAACCGAAGCTGTAAATGGTGCTGAGGAATTTATTTAAAAAAAAAAAAAAATTCAGAGATGATTCACAGTTTGTGTTCCTGTTCTCATGCTGGCTGGAACACCAATGGGGACCATGCAGGAATTAATAACCAGTGACAGGATAGTACCAAACTATAAAAGTCTATAAGCCCCACTTTATGCCCCCTGTCTGCAACAAAAATTTTAAAAAAAAAAAAAAAAAAGAAAAGGATGTGAGGCAATCGGACAAGATGAAAAAGGGGTGCCGAAGAGGTTAACAGGGTCATATTTCCCATCCTGCTACGGAAGAACACATGTGAGCCAAGCTTCCTTGGCTCTACAGGACTCTTTAGCAACATGACCAGTAAGGACCTGCTACCCGCTCGCTGACAGCAAATAACTGGTGAAATTTACCTGGTTCTAAACCAAAACTGTCACTAAGGCAGATTTCTCTGAAGACCAAATAAAAATGGCATGCAATAAATTAAAGAGAATGCAAATTCATAAAGATGAAATGAATTTGAAACATTTATTGCATTATTTAAGAAGTGAACTTCATGGTTTTATTATATATTTTGTCTGGTTTTAATCATAATTTTAGAATAGCTTATTCATTCATCTAATCTAACTTTTTGGGTTTCTATACATTTTCAGTTTAAAAGTCAATTATTTGTTTTTCTTGAACAGAAAATTACAATGTATTTTGGAAAAAAGGGTTTTAATGTTTTTATGGTAGCTTGTAAAACTGACACCAAGTAGCTCTCCTCTGATGTGAATGCTTCCTTTTATGAGTTGCTGCTGATCGGATGCTTTGACCATAAGAAATGCAAGCATCCTCCCACCACAGCCTTCTTTACTCTGCACACTCTCCTCTTTCATCTTTGAAATATCAAGTCCTTTGAGCACACATTTACAACTATCCACAATCAGATGTGAGCAGGTTCAGCCTTCAGTATGTTCAACTGCATCTGACTCACAAACAAACAAACAAACAAACAAAACAGGAGGGATAATTGCGAAAGAAACTCAGAGTTTCAGGGGGTGGATAGCTGATTTGTGGTGAAGCATAGTGGTGACAGTGGACAACAGCGCAGAGCACAAAAACAGCTAGTGGGCAAATGAGCTTTCACTGACAGGGCCTGTGTGAATGTAATGTGTGCGTGTGTGTCTAACTGAGGGTATGTGGTCTGTCTATTTTACCTCCATGCCTGATTTATATGCTTATGTGTGCGTGTTTGTGTATTGAGCAGTGCAGGATGACTCATGCAGAATGTGTAGGCATTCTCCGCAGGAAAGCTTCAAATATCTTGACAGACACTTCATCAGATGGCACAACAGCAGCACACAAACATGCACACACTCTTACAGGCCTGACTGAAGGAATGCAAATAGGTGGCTGATTGCGCACATATATGGATGCACACACAGGGCAGCAGTGAATGTGCTTCACTGATGAGTAAGATTAGACATCCCATAGGAGGATGGGGTTAGAGGTATCTATCCTGATTCATGCCAGCATTTAACTCACAGAGCACAAAAACCCAACGGACGCTCACATACACCACCTTCTCTCACCGTGTTTCCACAAGCACATTTGAGTACCATGTAGGCCATAGTTGAAGTTGCACTCCATATTTTCACACTGTTTCTATTAATAGCACAGCTCCCTCCCTCTCTCCAGCTTGTTGTCCATACTGCCTCATTGTTTTTCCTGCCTGCTGTATCATATTCCATGCAGGAACATGAACACCGGCGTCATGTCCTGTAGACGTCAGCAGAACAACAGATTGCACAAACATGCACTCGCAATCTGGCATTTCAGTGAAGCAACCACATGTGTGTGTCAAGCTGATATTTATGCAGAGCGTACAACACTGCTGCCTGTAGCTACACATCAGATCAGACCAGAGCTGCCTCTGATAGTCGTCACAGGTCATTTCGAGCTTTCGCTTTTAGCTTTAGTGCTTCAGATGGACACATTAGGTAGGTTGTACTCCAGCCATCTGGCATCTTAACAAGCAAAACCATGCTAAGACAAACTATTATAAATACAACTTAACCCAGATCTGTTTCACACGTATTATTTTTGAAATATAAACTGATGGGGAAAAAAAAGAAAAATAAAAGTACAGTTGAGCATCCCTGGCATCTAACAGGTAAAGGGTAGATTTACAATGCGGTTTCAGAGGACCTCACGTTAGTGCAAAGTACAACACATTGATAACAATGGATCCATTCCAGTTTCGAAATAAAAGTCATGGAGGCCAGAGGGCCCTTTAGTTACATATTCACATTTTGCTAGTTTTAGCTGATTGATAGATGAGAGTGGACGTGTCAAATACAATATATCATGAGCATCATTATTAAGTTGTATATTACAGCACGTAGTAACACAGAACCTCCTACTGTCACAACATTTCTCGTTACAAAGGACTCTTTTCCCAGAAAGACAGTGGATACGCTTTTTTCTTTACATGGGTAACATCTTACTTGAAGTTCCTATAAACATGTCATTGTACTATCATATGTTTATTTACAATAACTAAACATCTGAAATAGTTTTATGTGAGTCTGGCGGTGTGAATACTGCAGGAGGGACATTTTACATGGTGCTTATAAATGAGGCATTATTGATTAATAAGCAAGTCTTCAAGTAAAATGTCACCCTAAAGTGCCCAGTTGTTGATTCTGCTGCACACGTACAAATAGAAAAGGAGACAGATGAGAACAGTTGCTGTGCTTTTCCTTAATTTTTTTCTGTTTGTTACCAGAGAGGTGGACACACAGGTGAAAGGGGGATCATCTGTATCTTTGGGTTTAACAGTACAGGAGCAGATTTTCCTCCACCCAAATCGTTGTTAAAACCACCTGAGATGGAGAAAAGTATACAAGTAATCTGAACTTCCTTTGTGTCCTATAACCTGTGATCCTGTGGAGGTCACATCATATTTGCACACAGCTAAATTGTCATACCATGATACCCTGCTGTTCAGCAGAACCACAAACTCAAGGTACCGTGTACCAGACAAATAAACTATCTACACCAAGACTGAGCACAGCTGTACCTACAGTCATGATGAGATTGTTCCTTCGTGTTCAGGACTAAAGAATAAATGTTAAAGATGGAAATCACACAAAAAAGAAAAAAACATATACAACAGAGAAACAAAGAAATGTACAAATAGATATGTTGGTAAAAAAGTATTGTGCTTTTGGCTGTCCTGTGTACACTGTGTACAATATTCAGAGCTCCTGTGTGACATAAGGGTGTGTATACTGTATGCACTTTGGACATAGAGCAATGGCTCTAAGCGAAGATCATTAATACTTAATGTTGGCAAAATATGGCAAAATAAAGGTGTGTGTGTGTGTGTGTGTGTCTGTCATAAAGTGCAACATGAGGGCATTCAGGCTGAGCGAGCCCTGTATGTCATCATTAACAGCTGTTAGTCAGACTGATGACCACAGCTGTGTGTGTGTGTGTGTTGTTTAGACAATTGCATGAATGCGTCTTTGCACATGCTGAGTGTATGTGTGTGTGTGTGTGTGTGTGTGTGTGTGACTCATTCTGTTTCCTGCTTACAAATGCCTGGATGAGTGTATGAGAATGTAACCAAACCAACCAAAGAGGAAACAGAATCACCAAATTCAGGTTGCACTGAATAATCTGCAAGGAGAAATCTTATATCCATCCCTTATTGTTATTGTATTGTTCCCTCTGTGTGCTTTTAAGTTTTCTTTTTTACTTTACACAAATTTAAACAGCTTCTAGAAGCAAACAAACAAGAAAAAAGGCAAAAAAGAGAAACTTTCACATGAAAAGTGCCAATGCAAACTGACATTCCTGACCTCAGAACCAAAAATCATCCCAGTTTGCTTTCACCTTCCCAGCTTGGCAATGATTATTCAGGCTTATTATCAGCAAGGCAGATTTGTTTTTCTGTTTCATATTTTGATGAGTCCAGCTTCTTTTCCAGTCCAGTTATTCTATGCTAGATGAGAGTCTTAAAAGGATTGTTGCATGATATCAGTAGCATGTGCGCATGCTCTGTCACTGGATGGTTCTCCGCTTCAGATGAGAACATTTAAATGATTTGCACTTGAGCTGCTGATAAAGGTGAAGAAGGGCCTGGTTTTTCTTTCCCGGAATGATTAGGATGAGAAGATGGATTCTTTTCTCCCGTCAACACAAATTTTTCACCATAATGCTTCAATCTTCATCCAATTTCTCTGACTGACACTAGTTGGGCAGGGCATGGGTGGACTAGATGGAACGTATTTAAATATCCCATGCTTGTATACGTCAGAGTCCTCAGACGTGACTCTGGGATGTAGCTGGGTTGTATGTTTTGCTGCTGTCATTCATGCTAGCAGTCTCAGTCTTTTTGAGTTCTGTGCTTACTAGCATGATGGACGCCTCTTAAAATAGTGTTTCTAACAGAAGAGTGAGCTAAATAACTTGTTGACTTTGTTACATATACATTACTGTTTCTCTACAGTTGTTATAATATGGGATATGCAAAGGATGATGGTGCTGGGATAATAACAGCTGAGCAGGGAACGAGACATGAGTGTAGCGGGGTGACACAATGTTTTGTTTAGGTCTTATTCGAAGAGTGTTCCAGTCTGGAGTCGTTATTGAAGGTTTTGATGAGCTCCCCAGTCAGGTTTGTTGGCACTTGGACGATGCAAGAGTCCACACCCACACTGCTTCTGACTATGGCTGACATCCACAGGTTTTCATGTGTGACACGTTTCTTTTTTAATTTGCCTCTCACTCTTCTCCTTTTTAGCAGAATGTACATAGATGTATCCTGGATGTTTCTTGTATGTAAGATGTGTTTATGAATGGACCAGTCAAACAGAGGAAGATGTGGATGATGAGATTTCTGTTGTTTTTCCAGATGTTTTGCTCTGAATTATACATTTAGTATTTCTTCTGTCATCTCTTCCTTCTTTACCTCTGTTTTCCCTTATTTACTCCTCCCTCTCTTACCTTCATCTAACTTCTCCTTCTCTCCTGAATTTACATCACACTGCATTTGCCCTTCAGTCTCTCAGCGCGGGACTGCTTCCCCGAGCGTTTGCCATCGATGTTGAGGCTCATGTTCCTCTTCTTGTCCAGGTTGAGGAGCTCCTGGAAGAGCTCAGTTACATTGTGGTTGGTCTTGGCCGAAGTCTCCATGAAGGCGCACTTCCACTGGTTGGCCTGGGCCTCCCCATCCTTGGTCTCCACCTCCCGCTGGGTCTCGTCGCTCTTGTTGCCCACAAGCATAATGGGAATAGCCTCAACGTTGCCTTTTATGGCCAGGACCTGCAGCAGAGGAGGGAAAATAAAGAAAACTTCTGATATTGTTCTTGCTGCAGATACGTACACAGTATAATGTAGATTTCAGTGGTAGTCTTAAGACTAGTGACACGTTTGAGAAAACAGCTTATGGTAGTAGCTATCCTTAATATCCATTCTGCTTTAGTTCAGATAAATATCAATATGCCATTTAAATTAAAATTAACATAATTTATCACTTTCTAAATGAAACAAACATAATGTGGTCTGCAAGTAATTACAGACTGTTTCAAATACAATGAAAAAAATATGTTCAAACAACAGAAATTAGTAGAAAACAATGTGAAAATAGTGCCATAATGTATCATGAAATTTTTTGTTATTGTCCCTATAGATTTTATAATACAAGGTACAAGTCTTTACTAAGTCTTTATAGATCAGTAATAAGCTGTTAATAAAGACAACCCATGTGTTGATGGGTCATTAGGTAAAATTGTGGCGGCATAAATAATACAATACTTTATCAGTTTCTGTAGGAAAATTCCACTCTCACTGATAAACACTCACACACTCCTGACCTGTTGGTAAATGGGTTTGAGCTCCTCCAGAGACTGTTTGCTCGTGATAGAGTAGACCAGGATGAAGGCGTGGCCTTTGGAAATGGACAGACGCTGCATGGCTGGGAACTGGTGGCTCCCCGTGGTGTCAGTAATCTGAAGGGTGCACACGCTCTTATCGCAGCTGATCACCTGGCGGTAGGTGTCCTCCACTGTGGGGATGTAGGTGTCCCTGAAGGTGCCCTTCACAAAGCGCAAGACCAGGGAGCTCTTCCCCACTCCCCCTGCCCCAAACACCACCACACGATAGTCGTTGCTCTGCTCTGGCATTCTGGCCCCCTCACGCTTAAGACAGTGTTACACCTGTGACATTGAGGGTGAGAGGACACAGTGGGGAAGAGTAGGAGAAGATTTTAGCAAAAAGACAGCACAGCAGCAGCAGATACAAAGCGGGGAGGAGAAGTGTTGGCAGGACTCGGCCTAAGACCGGTGGATGTGAAAGCACTTTGTCTGTCCTTGTGGTGTGACTGAACGCCAGAGCACAAATTAAAAAAGATGAGTTTGGTGAGGCTCCAAGTGTTTCACCTGACGTGGACATTTCTTTAATCAATACCGTTTGCACAGTCAGAGTTTCTCAGTTTCAACCTCAAAAACATTCCAGCGTTTCATCATTTATCAACTTCAGTGGCTGAATGAAACAAAGGCAGAGTCGCTGCAGGGTGGGAGAATAATCCCCAGGCCTGCGAGTGTGGACACAGTAACATGAACTCATGTATCCTACAATGCATTTCAATGCAACAAATCTCAAATGACAGCCTTAGAAATGACTGAATAGTACCTCCCTAACACAATGACAGAACATTTTAAGCTCCACAAAAGCAGAACTACTGTATTAGATTGCATTAAGTTGGATATGTGCATGATATTGTGTCCACACACTGTACATTTGTTTAAAGTGCGCATAACAAGGCTGACAAAAATATCAGCGCCCCTCTGTTGTCTCTTTACTACTGATCAGAGCCAGTAGCCAATTGCTGCAAATAGCAAAAAAAACAGAGATAAAACCAGAGTTAATGTTGAGCTTTAATTCACCAGTTCGACAGAAACAAGAATCCAAATGAACGTTAATGTCGCTCTGTATTTGCCATATTAAGGTGAGCATATATCAGTAATATATTTCAGTTTGTTGCACTGCCCTCAAGTGCACCACCCCCCAAACATCGACTAATGCAGTTTTAAGGCAAATCAGTTATTGCTTGTTTTACAAAATACCTGCTATGTACATTTAGTGTTTAAGATAATGTGGGAACTGAAAGGAAGCCAAGATTATATTTTAAATGAATCTGAAATTAAACAGTGTACAAAAAAGAACAGAAAAAACAAACTAAATTGTGCAGTCAGGTTTTTAAAATGATTACTATTGACATTAAGTGAAAAACAAATGATTCCAAAGCTTTAAAAACTGGTTAGTAGTCAGTAGCAACGCTGCACCTGCTGCAGCTCATACATACATATGCATCTGAACAACGCCCTTGCGTCTGATCTGTTGCCATCTTTCTAAGTGTTTGCGTGACTGATGAGCGTCTGTGCATGATTATAAATTGTACTGGATACATTCTTTATCTGCTTCCCTTCTAAACTTGTTTTAAGGTCTCATAATAAAATAGTTGTGATCACGTAGTGCTCTCTAAGTTCCAGCTGTAATGAAACAATAAATTCACATTAATACCAGATGGAATAAATGGATTTCTCCTACACTTCCACTGCAGGAACCCACTATTGATGGTCCCTGTAATTGCATTGCCAGGTTCTAGATAATATCAGTCAAGGAGTCCAAAACAAATGGGGATTTGGGGAGCACCTCTTGAGTTTTATGGTCAATCTATAGCTGTAAGTAAGGGCGAACTATAAGAGTGTTTTATATCCATGCTGAACACACAGCCACAGTTTAATTTGCAGGTGAGCCTGTGTGCTCTGCTCATATGCATGCAAACTGTTCACTCTGGTGTGGATAAGCTGAAAATCTTTTTTAATGACTCTCTGGTCTTGTGCCTTAGGAGGAGGATGATACACTGCATTTTTTGAGATAGTGAAGGATACTTTCAAAAATCTGTCTAAATTGTCTGCCAACGAGATTTTCCACTGTGATAGAAGCTTTAGTTCTCAGTGCTCAAGTTTGAAGCCTGTTTAAATATTTCTCTATTAAATTATGATTGAATACCATGAGACAAAATTATTAAAAATGTCAAACGTGCTTCAAAACAACCTTGTCTATGTTGTCTCGAAATCCTGGCTTTAATGAGACAGTTACTCTAAAGAATTGATTTAGATCCATTTCCTGGAGAATTACCACAATTATTGTTTACAACTCTGCAGCCCATCTCAGCTCTACAGAGCATTTTACTATCTTTCAACTATTTGTTTTGGTTTTATATCCTACTACTTTCACAACCTGGTTCACTCTCACTACTCCCATCAGGCATCTCTTTTCAGCAAATAAAGCCGTGCTACACTTCACTGTACACGACTCACCACCAGATGACATACAGACCAAGTTACTGTAGTACCTAGCTGGTGACCATAGCGTAGCATTTAGCAGCTAGAAAGCCAGACATTTCCTTCCTGAGCTGGTGAAGGGCAAAAACAGTGATAGGAAGGTGAATACTGTCCTCACATTAGTCAGGTGGACCAACTCCAAATGACTGCTAATGGTGCTGTGATAAAATCTGTTTGCCCTATCACCGTTCAATGTAGATGGTGTATCAGTGTAAATTTTACAGCTGCTGTGATGGCTCCTGGAGGCCAAAGAATCATTAGTGCAGGTTTACAGTAACTGCCAATATCTGGGAACAGATCAGATGATCAGACAGTAAAAATCCAACAGTTAAACCATACACATATATAAATCCCCTTAGTGAACAGCCAGGTCAAAGTCGAACCAGGAAGACTGTTGTAATTGTTACAGTTTACTGACAAACATTTTAGGTCCTAATTTTAAAGTCTTTTTTCTCTATTTCAAATAAAATTGGCTAAACACATGATTTCTTGTCCTGTCTGACTTATTTTTAGAGCAGTGGAGTTGTGTTCCCAAATCTCAGCCTCTGAGAACACTTGTATTATTAGAGACCGAAACCAGAGTCAACATTACAAAAATAAAACCCATGTTATAATAAACCATTTGGAAAAAAGAAAAATCACAACTGGACAAAGTTCTGCAGAAATAATATTACAGGATTTTAAAGCTGATTTGTTGGTGCAGTTATGATGGAGCCACATACTGGCACATGCTCTTGATACTAATCCTCTTAATCGTTTCTCCTAATTTATGGCATGTTGAAAATGTTTTCCTTTGACCTCCTACCTGAGCTTCCTCTTGCTGTCTCTCCTGTCTCCTGCTCTCTCGCTCCCTAGGTGTCCATGCTGTTTGATAAATAAGCTAAGGACGCTGTGGCTTTGATCGGTGGGGATTGTCTGTCTAGGACCTGTCAGTCTGTCATCCTGCCTCGCTTGGTGCCGGCTGGTTTTCTAGACGGGGATTTCAGCTCTGCGACAGTGATCCTCCTCATCAAAACCCTCCTTTGCTCCCACCCTTTTTTTCATCTGAACTAAATTTAGCTGTCTCCCTCCCTTTGCCAGCAGCTATAACTACACACAGGTGCACAACGACACACACGCGGCACTTCTGCTCCTTCACCATTTGTCCTAGACACCAGGCCTCTGAGATTAATGACACTCTTCCCAAATGCAAGCTGTCGCTCTCCCTTTCCTCCTCCTCTTCTCTTGGTGTATTTGAAATGAGAGGACTGCAGCTCCTTAATGAATTAATGGTGTAATATAAATGCATCTGTGGCAGTGCAGCCAAACTCCATTAGCAAATAGCATTGGCACAGACCTAACAGGCCTCCTCTCCTCTCAGTCAGAAAATAGATGCGGCACAGCCCGCTCCACTTATTTATTTCACAGGGAAAGCAGGGAAATGTCACCTTTAGTGAAAATATGCACATAATTTCCCTCAAGAGAGCCACTTACGCCACGGCACAAAGGAAGAGCATTAACCAACATCAAACGCAATGCCATTCAACAGATCAAGAGCGTGATTAAATAGACACCCACAAAGCGGTCCCATGGTATCTTGAGGAGAAAGGGTTTTAATCAAACTGTGGATACTGGAATGCTGCTGATAGACGACAATTTGGTGATAAGATTTTTACAGGACCAGCTCATTTTTGTCTCAAGGTTTTTCTGAACCATTCTGCACACACACACACTTATCACAATGTCTGAAACCTGCACAAGTTTTTCTTTTTTTCTTTTTTGCTCTGCCAGGCTGTCAGACAGTGTATGAGCATGTGTGTGTGTTTGAGATGTGTGTTTGCATCTGTGCAGTCAAGCAGAAGATTCCCTGTTCTAGGTGCACACATCAGCTCAAGCTTTTCAAGTGTGTGTGTGTGTGTGTGTGTGTGTGTGTGTGTGTTTTAGCACAGGAATGAATTTGCATCTTTAGCAAGGCAATTTTTAGACCTGGCTGTTTTCATTAGGTCTGAGCAAACTGTAGAGGTTCTGTTTTTAAATGTTGATTCAGTCTCACACATTCAGTCACGATGCAGCTTTCACACCCATTAACAAAACACAAATGGAGAGCCCATATCTCACATGGGCTTGTTTTAAAATCTCTGATAGTCTGTTAGAGCTAAATTTATAGATGGATCAAAACAGGAGTGATAAGACATCACTCTGTGCCTGTGTGTGCGTGCATTGGTGGGCGATGACGCAAAGACAGGAAACGTTACTTTCATATTCATCAGAACTAAATCTATGAGATACTGTGTTTGCAATCCACCAGAATAACCAATCCTCTCCTCTGAACGTGTACCACCCATTGTTGTGTGGCAGTTTTACTGGTTTTATGTTTAAAATGTCTGCTAGTAGTTGGATAATGGGTTATGAAGCGCATACAATAGATCTCAGCTTTGGTTCTTTATTGTTGTTGGATGAAAACCTACAAAATATCTGGTCTTCAGAAATTTGGTGAAGCAGTGTTAGATGGAGCATTTTATTTTTTAAATTACAGGAATAATTTGACATTTTGGGAAATATATTTATTAGGTCTCTTGCTGAGGTTTAGATGAAAAGAGCAACTCTCCTGGGTGTATAGTCCGACAGTCATTTAGCTCTTCCTAGCACAAGTACTGGAAATACGGAAACGGTTAGCCTGGTAACAAAATCCAGCACCTACTGCACCCAAGTTTGCCAGGCAGACTCACTGCAGGAAGCCACTGCGCCCAGCTAAGAAACAGAAATGGGCTCATGATCTCATATAAAAGCACAAGCTGTTGTTTGACAGATTCCACAGGCAGATTTGTTACCTCTGGCCAGAGCAGCTAGCCATGTCCCCATTTCCAGTCTTTACACAGTAAGAAAGCAAACATTAATTTTTTCTAAAATCTTGAACCTTATGTTTTTTTAAACAGAGCTGGTTTTAAAGAATTTCTATGGTCCAAAGGATTGAAAATACACCTGTATTCTCACACGCATCTGTATGTAATGTTTACAATATGTGTATCAGTCTATGCTGAGTATACACCACTCTACATGAATGGAGTGTGTGTGTGTTAGAAGGTACAAGACATGTGGTCATAATCACTGCTCTTAGCTTCCTCTGGCCTGCTACACTTCCCAAGACTTAATTTACCAGCGGCCTCCCTATAAAACTACATGGAGCTCCTGAAGCACATCGACTCAGCCTGCACGGACACTAACACTGTGGCATGAGAATATCAGCAGAGCCAGGCACATAAATAATAAAAGTGACCTTTATCTTTCTATTGATAAACATTACATCTGGCATTTTGCAGCAGAAGAGCCATCTATGAACCAGAACAGGCAGTGTTGTAGTTGGAAGTACACAGGAGAGATTTGTGCTCTTTCAGACCAAACTTACTGACTAACTGTTGGCCGGAACATGTGAGACAACGATAAGCATGATAAACATCTTCAACCTGAGGAAGGTTAAGATGTGACAAAGGTCGCCAGCTCAACCTGAGCCTGGGACAATGTTGTTCATGGTTCATAACAGCTACACAGTCCGTCTCCACAATGTCTGCACTGTGCTATGGCAGGAGAAAGAATAAAGTTTGGTCTGACTCTGTCTCAGGACAGAAAAATAAATTGACATACTTTAATACCTTCTACTGATGAGTTCTTTACAAGCTAGATGAGACTGAAGTATGTATATAAAAGCATCAATTTACCTGCAACTAATCCCTAATAAGCCAAAAGCAAAATGTAGTAAATGTGCACAGGGTAAGAGGAAGACATTTTCCCGTACAACAGATTGATTCCTGAGCTGTTATTAAACATTTTAACCATAACTATACTGATTCTAGGCAGCAGTTTAATACATGACTGAGTGTAAGATTCCCATGTAATTAGTCTTTGAGTGTGCTTTAGTACTGAGCCTCAGCCTGACCTGGAGGAACCCTGGACTGCTCCGTCTGAACTCTCTGTTAATACCTCAGTCCAACAATCTGGGAAGCACACAGGCGCCTGGCTAATAACAATAACATTGACCCAAAGAAAGGTAAAGTAATTTGGATTCTAGCACTAATAATAAACTGAGAATTTTTTTTTTTTTCAAGAAATCCTATTTTTAGAAGCTATAAAGCCCCAGACCTGCCTGAGGCATTAATTACAGCCTGGTGAAGTGTGTGTCAGAAGCCTGGCTGCAGTGACAGATGGTGACAGGGTTGGTGGCTTTGGATCAACTCCACTGGTTTCTACAGGAAAGATCAACCAGGCACAGCTTTTTTAAATAATACCACTTGATCCAGGGCTGATAATAATGCAGATGGTTAAAAGCAGAAACAACATGGGAATTCTGCTCCAGACTCTGGATACTCCCATGATCCAACTGGGATTAAATGAAACTGACCATGTTTCTTTATTTCTAACCACAAAATACTTTCCCCAGGTTTCACAATGTCCTTAAAAATGATTTAAATATAGTTTTCATTTTATATGAAAGGAACAGCTGATATTTGAGCCACCTGTTCCAAAATTAGAGCAGATGTTATGCAATATATAGTCATATACTAGAGGTGCTCAGCACTGATGGTGCCCTTGATTAAAATTGTGCTTTCAAAGCAACAGCCAGACTTAACCATCATCAGGAGACAACAGTTAACTATTTTTTTCAATAAAAATAACCAGGGATGTTTCAAGCTTTACAGAAGAACACTCACAGTTACAGAATTGTTATTGTTTCATGCTTTTGAGATTAAACAAACTTGTAAATCACTCCTGAAATTATGTGCAGTGACTGCATTTGACAATTAAAATGCCACAGAGGAGTTGATACACCACCAAGTTAATCATTTGTTTGAATACAGTTCACCCATTTTCTCACTTTAAACAAACCAACATGCTCTACAAAAAGTACAAAACCGTAACTGTGGGCACAACAACGGCCTGGAGCAGGATCAACAGCCGCATGCTCCTCTCACATGAAGCTGCAACACACCTGAATGTGATTAAATTAACCTTTTTAAGTATGTTACTTTACCAACTGCTTCAAAAACAAGGACAGACAAATACACGCACCGAGCTGAAAGGACACATATTACAGTATATAAACTGATTTACCGCTATTTATTTAAGAATAGTCCTTTGAGCATGCATGTGCACACAGTTTCACTCACTACAAATAGCAGCCATCCAACACAGTAACAACTACACAAAGGCTACAATCCATGGTAATAGTTTTGTTAAGCAAAGGAGCATATTTTATTATTTATTTTTCCTACTTATCAGCCAGAAACATTCATGTCTTGGACATCAATCTTGTGGTCTACTGGTTATTTATATTACATATTTATTAGTCCTTTTCTTTATCTTGCTTCTGCTGTTTGACTCCAAACCTTGTGCAGTAGTTGATCTTGATAAGTGAACTTAGATGAACTTTATAAAAAACAAGGATGATGAGCTTGGTAGAAGGAAAATAGTTAAAAACAAAACTGTTGGATGGGTTTTCACTACATGAAAAACAACTGCTTTTAGACCTTAGTAAACCTGGGTAATACTGTAGTAAGCTTGGTAGAGTTTACATGCATGCATGTAGTTAATTAGATAACCTGTAGTAAATAAACAAATCATGCTAAATACTCATTTAAGAAACTCTACCCAGACAATGCCAATAATTTGTTTTTCACTCTCTGGAGCCACAAAGACGTCTCAGAGCAAAATGTGCGGTCCCAGCTCTGTGATCTGATCATAACGGAGAAAAACTGGACTTTGTGTGTCTGTGGGACTATATCTCCAGCCAGTCTGTGGATACAGCATATGCAAATGTAAGTGATGTTCAAAGACAATTCACCTTTCTTTACATCTGGCTATTCTGAGCAGCTGTCTCCCACAAGCTTGTTTAGCTTTTGAGGCCTTAGCTACAAACAGTACAACCAAAAGCATCATCATCAATTATTAGCATCCATACTCATCTCCAGCATCATCGCCATCAATATCATCTCCTCTCTGTGCTGTTTCTGGTTATTGAGTAACCTCTTTGTCCTGCCTCAGCAGGCTGAAGTATTCTTACGCAACAGTACTGTGACCATTCAGTACAAACAGACAGACAGATGGACAGGCAGGACGTGTACACACCCCCACACTTTCACTTATCCCTAATCCTTGACCAGCACATGCATGCTGCATCTCTACTCTATTCTCAAACACATGCTTTAAAGCTTATTTACAGGATTTATGGTCATATATCTCAGTTCTCCACTCTCAAGCCCTGCAACCACACCACCTCTCTCTCACACACACACACACACACACACACCCCCATGACTGGCAGTGTTCAATGCATACAGGAAGTTGAGTCACATATGCGCACACACATTCACAAAGGCCTAGATGATTCACAACTCCTTTTGAATGTCATGATGGCTCTCCTCCAGCCTTGAGACCCACAGTAAACAGTACATCAGGCATAGAGGAGAAACACAGATCCAGATGGAGGATTAACCATGGCATTTGACACAAAAATTTGCGTGTTACGCTGGCATCATTATAATTAGTGTATAATGTTGACGTGCATCTCCGCCGCAGCTGTAGTCAGGAAGGGATGGCAGGAGAGGGCTTGCCGGCGATCCGCAGATTAGTGCGCAGCGCCATTACAGATCACCCTACTCTGCTTGGTTCATTCATAAATACCCGAGGATCGCCATCTCGCTGCGGTGCCATCATTTCGCAGTCGCAGCCCCCGCCCCCCAAATACACCTCCCTTTATTCTTCAAAGCAATATGATAATCCCGAGACCCTCATACCGTCTCTCTGCCCCGTCTCTCTCCCTCCCCTCCTGACTGCCAATATGGCTGTGCGGGCACGGGCTACTTAATTCCCCCGACCGAGGTTATCGAACACAAATGTGAGTCGCGATAAGAGCCGGCGTGGATGCATTTACATTAACAGAATCGGGATGAATGAGGAACATGACATTTGTCAAGCACTGGTGGCGCACAGCAGGAGTCGTGTGCGCACAACAGCCAGTCAGGCAGAAGTACCGCGGGTGCGCCACTGAATACCAACATCTAACCTCCATCTAAGATGTGGGAATGAGGAGTATCTCCATACCTGGTCGTAAAGTATAGGTCCGCTTCAGGTTCGTCCTTGGTTTAGACGGATGAAGGCATACGCCGAAAGCGTCTTAAAGCATTTTACGCGGTTCATGTAGAGCTCATGTCGTCCGATTTCTAACACCACCACAGCAGACTCTCTCTCTCTCACAGATAGGACGTGGGAGGTGCTATGCCCTCTCCCTCTTCTGTCCACATTTGATTTTCTTTCAGTTCATACTCTTCCTAGTGGTTGGCTGCCAGGAAAATAAGCTATTAAAAAGAACTTCCTCAAAAAAACTCTTAGTGTGGGTCCATAGTCTCTGCGACAGCGGGAATTTCACAAGCTCATACAAAAAACTGACAAAAATAAAAGGAATCTGCACAGGCTCCTCATAATATTAATGTACAGTCACTGTCTAATATCATGTTCTATAGAATATCTAAGAAGAAACAATACTGACAATCCCTAAGCACATTAAAGTAGCCCAACCGATTAAATTAAACTCACGGTCAAAAATGTAAACTAAGCAGGGTCCCATTTTATTTCCAGATGATTTTGTCTGTTTCTCGACACACACATACCGATATCCACAGGGCCAGAGGAGATTTTTGCCAGTTTCACGTAACACCAATAAGAAATTAAAAACTATTGGGTTCTTTTTTTTCTTCTTCCAGTTTTAGATATTTGACTATTTATCTTCAGTTTCGCAAACATGGATGGATGTATCTCAAGTACTTTTATGTACAACCAGGCCTATAACTGTATCATTAAGTCAGTAATATAATCAAGCAAGGTTATCTTGGTCCTACATGATAAAATGCTTTGCCATTTTTTATTAAGTTTATATGTAAAGTCAGTTTGGAGAGCTTTGAATTTAAAAATGTCATATCTCATTGGCTGATCCCGGATCAGCACCACGGAGAGCGAACTCATTGTTTTTCAGCACCATGGAGAGAGCCAGAAAAAAATGAATGCAGTAGTGTATGCAGTAAGTACAAGCTACAAGCTCCTCTACGCGCGCGCACACACACACACACCAGAGCAACAAAGGAGTAATGGAAAGAAGCAAAGAAAGCATTAAGAGACGGATGTTAAATCAGAAACTATCAGTCCAGTATAGGGACGCCCAAATGAATTATCAGTTCTTTTTGACAAAAATTGAAAACAAAAACGTTTATTTCGGTTAATATCAGAAATAAATTTGAACAGGTCAATCACTGGTGTTAGTAAAAGCTTATGGCCGAGTCAGACCAGGCTGTGTTTGTACGTGACGGTCTCACTGTATGACTCACCAGCTCTCCATCCACACAGCCTTGTGTTTGGCCCCCTCTGTCGGTGAGCGGGGGAACTGCGGAGAGTGGACATAGGCGGTCAGACAAGCAGACAGCCTGTGATTACAAGTGGCATTGATTGGTTTGGTCAAAGCGGAAGGTAACGAAAAGATAAGTGGGGATCAAGATAATGCAGGGTTTGTCAGAACAAAATAATATGCAGATAAAAAAATAAGCTTGGACAGGAAATTAAAAACAAGACATTCAAAACAAAACCTGAGTGTCACTTACAGCTAACAGCTCTTTAAGGTAATAAACCTACTTACTCATCTTTGGCTGTCCCTTTATTTTTAGAATAGTCTTTTTGCCCTCCAACGACAATTGACATATTTCACTCAGAAATATGTCCAACTCTATAGAGTGTTGCTAGATGAAACAATTCAAGAGGCTGTCAGTCATTAAAATTCATAGTCATGAGATCTGTGAATACAGAAAATGCTGTAGAGCAATCTATCAAATATATAGACAAAATAAGTTAAAACCTTTATGTGCTGCCAAATTATATGGAAAGAAAATGGAAAAAACTCTAAAGTCATCAGAATTATCTGGGCACAACAAATGACTCAAATTTCATAATCCATCCAGAGGCCCAGCACGTCACTAAAACACACAAATGTCAACCTGTTGGTGGCAGTACAGTCTGCAGGGTTGATCTTCTAGAGGCCACAGATGTCATCTTTAGAGCAGTGTGCCTGAAATGCAACTTGCAATAGAAAAAAAGCCAGCTGACAAATGTTTGTGTACAGCATGAATAAAACATGCTTTCATACGTTCACTCCTTTCTCTCCAGCTCTTTATCTGCTCTCCTTTTATCGCTCAGTAGAAAGCCCTAGATCAAACTGCACAGCAATGCAGTGCCATAATTGGTTTGTCTCCTGTTTCTGTTAGATCAATATCAGCGGCTGAGGAAATACAAACACCCAGCAGACGTCTTCATAGCAGCCATTTCCAGATGGGTGCCTTCCACTCCCGGTGGCAGCATATGGCCATCACACACACCATCCACCATGCATTACAACACAAAGAGCCTCCTATTCAGATCCCCTCAAGTGTGAATACAGATCCACACACAGTTTAAAGAGTGGGTGGTTAGGCTGTCTGAATGCAGTGTAGCTTTTCGCTGAAAATACAACACAACAAAAGAACCACAGAAACATTTCACGCAACATCACATTTTAAATCATGCTAAATGGAGAGTTTACTTCAAATTATCTACACCGGAAAGACTGATAGCAAAAATTTGAATTTATTACTTGAATGCCCGTTTCACAAGACACAGCACAATATTTGGGAAGTGTTTGCAATTACTGCAGATAAGATTCATTAAGAGAAGTTTGGTGCTGCGAAACAAACTATAACCAAAGCAGCAACAAACTGCCCTGACTTATCACTGCTATGAATCGGGAGGACTCGGGCCACTCATTAATGATTCGGGGCAGCGGGGGGGGGGGGGGTGGGTTACATAAATCATAGGTGCATGAACAGTCATTGGATTATATATGATTGAGATGATAAATTAAGACACAAGGTATAAAAAGACAGAAGTGGCCCAGGTAAATGTACTGAGTAAGAATCCTCCCAGCACAGTAGCTCAAACAGACTTTAAACACTGCTTGGCACATGTGAGACTCAAGTTTGTACATTAAGAACAATGCAGATACTGATGACATGTAAAAGTTCCAGTTTTAATCAACATAAGAAAATGTTCATAAAAACAAATTAAGGCAACCTGCTTCTATAACCATAGTGTTATCGGTCCAGTTTTTGGTCACAAATGGCTCAGAGGGAGAATAGATTTCATAGCCAGTGCCGCTGAAACCTGCAGGTACACAATCATAGCTTTTGCCACTGATGAATCTTTCCGCTTATTTTGTCACACTACAGTAAAGAGAAGAACCCAAAAGGGTCACAGTTTCAGATTGTTTTAGCATTAGCCATGGCAATAAACTGATGTGGATGCACAAATTAGTGTTCATTTCATTTCAGGAGCGTGAAGCTTCAGTGCACCTCATGACGGGGAGTCGATCATCATCATTCTTCATGGAGGATTAGTATATGGAGGACAGATTTCCAAAGTGTGAATCTGTGAGGTCACGGTCGAGGGCCCGGTTAACAGCTGAAGGAACAAAAAGAGAAAAATTGAACTACATTATGCAGGAAGGTAGAAAAAAAATGCATTGATGCAAGGATTAGTATATGGAGGACAGATTTCCAAAGTGTGAATCTGTGAGGTCACGGTCGAGGGCCCGGTTAACAGCTGAAGGAACAAAAAGAGAAAAATTGAACTACATTATGCAGGAAGGTAGAAAAAAATGCAGTGATGCAAGGATTAGTATATGGAGGATAGGTTTCCAAAGTGTGAATATGTGAGGTGATGCATGCTTGTGCGAATATTTTGCTGCATTACATAATTATGGCTGTACTTGCATGTATACTACTGTGGGTGCCTCACCCTCCTTTGTGACAGTTTCAGTTATGTTCTTAGCCTTGGCACTCAGATCGCTGACTACACTGTCCATGGTGGCCTGATGTTTCAAGAAAAATGGCCGGATCACCCGCTTGTACAGGATGTCAGAACCGTTCCATGTGACCGGAGCCATACACCATATGAGGAACACGCACTGAGAAGAGAGCAGATGATCCTTGTAAAAGCACTTCATTTGTACAGTGCACTATGGGACAACAGTGTCCAACAACAGCACACAACCTTTTTTTTTAAAAATATATTTAATTTTGCCCACATTAAAATCTGGTAAGGCCACATCTAGTATGGGGCTACAACTCATCAGATTTATGAATGCTTTCTTTATTTTGATAATACAGAAGTTATCCACAGGAATCAACTATGATGCAGAGGCCCAAAAACAAAAAAACATCATGATAGTTATGAAAGCAGACTTCAGTCAGTTGTCACCTTTCTACAGAAGTTCTAGAGTGAAAATGGCAAAATAAAGACAGTATGTGATGTCAAGCAAACAAAAGGTGCTACAAACTAAAAGGTCACCCTACCTTCCCAGCATAGTAAAAAGGGAACCAGAAGAGGAAGATGTCTGAAAAGGCCTCCACGATGCCAAAGAGTCCATAAACAACCCAGTAGGTCAGCCACTGTGTGTCATCCTCCTTGATACTGCTCTCAATGGCTTTGATGCTGAAGGAACAGCAGGACAGGTTTGATTCATGACTGAATCACACTAAGCCAGTAATGTGTTTAAGAGGTGACAAATTGGGAGGGGGATAAAATAATGCAATTCTCTACAAAATAATTTAAAGGCTTCCCACATTTTTATGAAGCAGGAAATGCAGTAATTTGCACATTTGTTAGGCATGAAGGAGACCAACAACTGAATGCAGTGATGACATACAGTTGAAAACTGGCGATGTCAATAGCCCATAAAGTAAACAAAATTAAAGAAAATGGGCTTTTTTTTTTTTTAAAGGACACATTTAACATGTCACAGTAGGAAACTGGTTAATAATTAATTATGCTTGCACTGCATTTAGATGAGTTTGTTCCAAAGCTCTGCTATAGAATCTATTGGCTCCTTGGACAAAGTCATAACAGTTCTGGGAGACAACTCCAAGTGTGCACTCATAGCCACTGAATTGTACATTACTTGTCCATAAAGTAATAAACTGTAATACATAAGTGTTGAAAAGCAACTTTACCATCACAAATTTTAAATGTGTTGATTCTCTACATACTGTATTGTGACATTTATTGAAATGAGCTTTATACGTACGAGAAATATGCTGGATATACAAAACCAATCAGGTTGCAGAGCAGTGAGGCTCCAAATCCAAACAAAAGATACAGTCCAATAAAACCCAGAGCTCCTGCAAAGGATGAAAGATGAGAAGTGACACAGAGGTGAGACAAAAAGGTAAGGGTAAGGCTATCCAGTTACTTGGCAAAAACACTGCAGGCGAAGCCTCATTAATTTGTTGTCAACTGTGTCTGACCGATAACAGGATGTCAGCACAGCACCGTACCAGGATCAGGAGGAAAACTAAGCACAAGTCAAACACAACAGTGGAGCAGACTAGGACAAACGTGGCAGACTTTTATTATAATCGAATTTCAACAGATCGTACAGGTGTACCTAATAAAATGGCCACTGACTCCATGTGATGTTTTCCTTTACAGCACCATGTTTTGAATCTCACACACACACACACACACACACACACACACACACACACACACACAGCTCTGTATGAACTATATGCTGCTTAGACTTTAACAAATATTTAAGTCATAGAATTCATAATGAAGCAACATGTCACCCAGTGGAGCGTTGTGTTTTGCTGAGATATTTTTAATTGATTTTGAACAACGGTGGTCTACAGACAACGACCAGTATTATCCTTGAAAGCAAAGCAGGACCTTCGAGCAGCTGTAACAAGAGATAAGTCAGTTTTTTTTATTCAAATATATGCACAACTAAACAGATGATATAAAATACAACTACCATAAATGCCATCAACACGTCCTACAGGTATCTGAAGCACTAAAAGCCTTTGATACAGCTCTAATCATTACCCGCTTGCTGCTTTTTACATCTCATTTGTTTGTGCCAGCTCTTATACAAATATCCATGCAATTACCATTCTGCCAGACTCTCTCTAATAAAGGCAAAACTGGAAGAACTGGTTGAAATGGAAGATGCCACAGAGAGAACTGCTGTCACAAGGGGACAGGTGGCACAATGATGCTTTATGCAGGAAAATCATAAGCAGGATACGTTTTTCTGAAACATCTCAAAACCTGCATGCTACAGCATCTGGCATGACCTGGAGAAAGTTAAAAGTGAATGCATCCATGTGAAATAATGTAGATGCTACAGGTTTAGATAAAAACATGCGTTTCACATGGAAAAACTGAAAATAGGAGCAAATCAGCCATTACACAACTGTGCAATCTTATGACTCAAACTACTCATTACAGAGTTGCATGACTTGTAATTATACTAAAGTCCACTTCCTCTTAACATGAAACCATCACAAAAACCTATTGTTACCAGTAGGTGAAGGGTTACAGCTGGCTTTAAAAACATGAACCTAAGAAATAACGGCCTAGTGAGTTTGGCTGCATACACAGCAGAGATGAGGCCTCTCATGTTACCAGAGTCGGCGTGAACATTTCTCAGCTAAACAGTTCCACTGCTTTGTAAGTGATTTCCACCGACACGCCCGGATCAAAGCAAAGTACGGGTAAACATTAGCCAGCGGCAAACAATTTGCTGCATGCAATCCATATCAGTGAACATCTGTAACCAGCCTGAGGTGTGGTCAAAGTATGCAACGAACGACTGCTGCCTCACTAACAAGATAAAAAGACAGCTCTGCAGGCAGGACAGAACAGAACATGGTTTAATTTGATCGCTCTGTCTGGATCTACCTTCTGCTAAACACATGGTAAGCAAGAGGTATTTGCATAAAGCCCTCAATATTTGTTTTGCGAGCAGGTTTGGTGCTGTGTGTACTGTATGCTGGGGGAGGGTGGCAAATCCCACCCCCAAAAAACTTAAAAACATGGATGTACGAGTCCACATCATATTGAGATTTAACTCACACCAGCTGAACCTGATTAGGTGGCATTTTCTGGTCATGTGCTCACTTCAGTCCACAGAAATCATAAGGGTCTGTCCTCTTTTACACTATACTTCAGATGAGCTGATGCTCAGTAGAGCCAGGCCCATAAATCAATAAATCAACCCAACCTATACTGTACACCAGTCATTATTAGCTTATGAACAATACATTAGTATAACAGGAAGCGCCAGTGGATAAGCACCTAACAACTACAAATGTCAAAGCGTGTTTGGGGCAGTTCAGATGAGGGCTGCAAGCTATCTAATAGTATATATATGTATATAAATTCTACAGCAAAGCATTTCTCCAACCAGAAAATATTTACTGTAAAGGTTCAATCTTCAGTTCCTTTGTGTCTTTATCTAGATCACAGGTCTTTAACAACCAAATTTAAGGAGCCTTTGCAAAAAAACATGACTTATGTTAAAAAAATGAGAATATGATGTATTGGCTGGATATTACTAAACCTTCAAATAACACTGATGCTGTAAACCCTCAGGGTTATTTGCAAACACACTTGTGATGCAGGTCTGTCCGAAAACATTTCACATCCAACTTTGTTGCCTTTAAGTGCACACCACTGTTCGGCTGTGAAATGGCACAGTTGTGAGTAAAGGCAGTGCATCTGAATGTAGGTCACTGCGGCTATCGTGTTGTCAGTGGCTGGGCTTCATTACAGAAACCTACACCACCTGTGGAGTCTGTGTTGTTTATTTACTTTACTGTGCAAACTGACTGTGAGGCAACAAACTAGATTTCCAAAAACCTTGCTGGGAGAGCAGCCTGTAACTGAATAACCATTCATCTGGGAATCTCCTTCCATTGGGAAACTTATTTCAGAAAGTGATTAAAATACCCCGGGGCCAGCTGGTTGGTGGTGGCCCTGGGATATAGGGGCAGTTCTTTCAACAGCAATGTGTGCAAGGAGGATTATGCACCAACTCTAACCTTATAGTGCAGAATAAGCATCTGAGCTGGACAGACTTTGGTATGCGACCTCGAGAACGGTAATAAAATGAGTCTGTCGTCTGCAATAAGATTACAACAGGATATGAAACCGGTTCTCGTGCAACATTGTGACCACAACCGTTTATCAGTTACAGTTTGACTGGCAACGTCTTAGCTATGTAAACTAGCTAACACTGGTTTGTTTGCTAGCGTTAAACACCAATAGTTCGTTAGCTTCAGGAGACGTTAAGCCCCAGATAAGTTCATTCTCTCCAGAGTATTAAAGTGCGTTAACGCGTTTAAAGTTGGGGTTTTCTTCTCTTTTCTTTTCTTTTCACCGAGCTGTTAACATACCCAGGGTGATGTACTCTCTCCTCACTCCCGTTTTTTGCTCCACCGTGGCCAGCAGATCCGTCACAAAGTTCTTCTCGTGGAGGAGGCTCACGAACCGCTCCTTAAACTGACTCATTTTCGGGCTTTCCTGAGCCTGTGGCCGACACAAACCGCACAGAAAACAAAACGCATGTTACACATGTCGAAGCTCGAAGTACGTGTAATAAAACAGAGAGTTATTTTACCTACTTTGGTTAAATAATTTGCCCAAAAACTTTCAGCTGGGTGGTTGACAGGGCTGCTGACGCCGGCGAGTCGTGATGACCGTGGGGGAGGAGCTTGACAGTTGGCTTCTGACCAATCACAGAGCTCCAGGGAGTAACGTGTACTGCAGCAGGTGGTTCGGTAACGGTTTGTGCTGTGGACTGAAGTACTCAGAGCCTGTACTTAAGTAGAAGTAGCAGTACCACGGTGTAAAAATACTCTGTTAAAAGTAAAAAGCCCAGCATTCAAAAAGTTTTTTAAGAAAAAGTGTAAAAGTATTAGCACAAAATATACTTAAAGTACTAAAAGTACTCACTGTGCACAATGGCACATTTCACAATGTATAATCTGCTAGGTAGAGTGTGAATTTCCCACCAAGGATCAATACAGTATTATGTATTTAAAAAAGCTAATCTGATACTGAGAAGTAACTAAAGTTATCAAATAAATGTGGTGGAGTAAAAAGTACAATATTTGACTCTAAAATATAGTGAAGTAAAAGTATGAAGCAGCAGAAAGTGAAAATACTCACATAAACTACAGATACCACAAATCTGCACTTAAGTACAGTACTTGAGTAAATGCACTAATGTACTTAGTTACTTTCCACCTCTACTTAGGGCAGTGGTGGAAGAAGCTCTTAATTTTTTTTTTTACAGTGGTTGAAGAAATAATAAGTGTTATAAATAATGGATGAATGAAGAAGTATTCAGATTCCTCAGTTAAGTAAAAGTACCAATACAAGACTCTAAAAATACTCTGCTACAAGTAGAAACCTGTATTTCAAACTAGACTTGTTTAAATGTACAGACAAAATGTAGCCTACTTAAAATATCAGGAGCAAAAGTACTGCAGTAAAATGTCCCCTATAGCTACAGATTCGATATGACTTTATTACATTTATGAAATTATTAGGATTGATTCATCAGTGTGTATGCACCAGTGGATGTGGCCCCTCTTAAGGGTCACCAAACAAATCTAAAAGGATCTACTGAAAATCAATGGTTAAGATGAAGAAAAGCAAAGTTTTCCTGCACAGTTTTTCCAAGTCTGAAGTTCTAAAAACAAAAAGACCTGCCAGTAGAGGGCAGTCAGCATCTATTTATCAGCACAATGTGCTTTGAAGAGACAAAAACAGGAGACACGAGGAATAAAATGGTTAAGGTTTCTACATGTACGTTATCAGTTTACAGGCTCTACCACATCTCTGCCTCTCAGTTTCATAAAGACAGGTGTGTCCAGATGTATTTTGCATGGATTTATTGCATCACTTCTTCTGGCACTTTAAGTTCTGCTGTTACAGGGAGTCTGAACTGTTTTCATGCCCTCACACTGAAAACTGCATCAGGATGTTGCTGATAACTCTGATTCTCTTGTTGGGTTTTCTGAGTCAGGGTGAGACGTTTTCAATATTTATCTCTAATGTCAGACTAGATTTATGTGTGGTGCAGTTTCTGTCTGTTCTTTTCATGCTTTTCTCCAGTTTACTGTCTATTTTGTTGTTATCTCACAGTTAAACCTTAAATCGTCGACCCATCGATGTCAGATATAAAATTCTTCTCACAGTCTACATTTCATTTCTCATTTCAGAGTCTTCTGCCAACAACTTTCTGACTCAGACTGACAAATCCAAGTCTGTGAGTCTTGGAGGGACTGTGACCATCAGCGCCACAGGGAGTTCAGATATTGATGATGATCTCAGTTGGTACCTTCAGAAACCTGGACAGGCTCCCAAACTTCTTATATACCGAGTATCAACTCTGAACTCTGGAGTTCCGTCTCGATTCAGTGGCAGCAGGTCTGGTTCTAGCTACACTAACCATCAGAGGAGTTCAGGCTGAAGATGTTGGAGATTACTACTGTCTGGGCTACCATGGTGATTATACGTTCACACAGTGATTTAGAGCCGTACAAAAACCTCCTTCAGTTTGACTGAAGTGCTGCAGGTGCAGAGTGTTGGTGGAGAGACTGTGATGAGAGTAACTGGTCCAATGAACACAGCAGTCATCAAGCAGAACCACAATAAGTCGAAATAAAGCTGAAACCTTTCCATACACAGTTATATTCTCAGTAGTGAAAACACCACTGCTAAAAATTTAAAGTACTACTGGATTAGAGACACTGATGACAACAGATGTTTAATGTTGTCTCTTTCAATATCAGAACAAAACAATATGACCTAGAAAAAGGTTCATAGCGAATGAATAAATTCATAATGACAATGTTATTTAAAAAGAAGAGGTACAAAGGCAAACATTTTATGAATAATGGTTTAATATTTGTAACACTTTAAGGAATTGATAATTAATAGCTGCTTTTTGAACTATTAAAATTAAGTTAGATTGGAAAACATGAACATTAAAAGCAGCATGCACACTAAAACAATGAGTGAAGCTGTGAAACTTAGGAAAATATCTGAACAGAAAGAGATCTGTATCTTCATCAAGATAATTTCCCGACAGGAAGTAACCTAACCACAGACAAACATCATATAAACCTCAATTGAAACAAACCTATGTTTAAATCCTCAGCTCCACTTCTAACATAAATATTTTCCTCTATTCCATTAAAATCCCAGATGGTGTAAATCCAGACAGTGTTTCTCCTTCTCTTGTGTCCCACGTTGCCTTCACTGTGTTGAGAGCAGAGAAATCATTTCCATAGAGAGGAGGCTTTGCATCGTCAGCTGATCCTCCAGTGAACTGAGAAGGTTTATAGTCCTGTGAGTTCAACGCTGCAGGACTCAGATCTGTCAGTCGACACAGCAGGAACCACAACCACCATGACTCTCATCACCATCCTCGTCTGGACGCTGGTCTGCTGCTGTTTTACAGGTCAGGATCATTTCAGACATAGAACTAGAAAGTAACTGTACCAGCAATAGCAGTGAAAATCATAGAGCAATCAGTGGATAGAACAAACCTGAATAAGCTTCATCTTAATGTACAGTAAGTCAGTTAATGTTCAGTGTTCTCCCTCTTTGTTTTTCAGGATCCAGTGGTCAAGTCACTGTGACTCAGCCTCCTGTGGCAACAACTTCTCCTGGATCTACAGTCACTCTGACCTGTAAAACCAACCCAAAGGTTCATACATGGTCAAGTGGAGCTAGTAATGTACACTGGTATCAACAGAAATCTGGACAAGTCCCTAAACTGTTGATTTATAATGGTATACACAAACCATCTGGTGGTGGAGTTCCAGCTCGTTTCTGTGGAAGAGGAGACGGAGTAAACGCTGCTTTGACCATCAGTGGAGTTCAGGCTGAAGATGCAGCAGTTTACTACTGTCAGAGTGAACATGAAATTAACAGTGCTGATGTGTTCACACAGTGATTTTCAGTCGTACAAAAACCTCCCTCAGTCAGACTGCAGAGACACTGAGCTGTTACAGCAGGAACCAACTGCAGCTGCTGAAGAGGAAGAGACTGACACAGACCACTGAACACAGAGCTGACAGTCACCAAGCACTAAAGACACATTCACATTATACTGTGCCTGTTAGACCTATTTTATGCACTTTGGACAACAGACATTCATGATCCCCGGCGTATTAATCCTACTGACTTCTCCTGACTTTCCCTCTACCAGAAAAGCAGATTAGCATTTGTGATTGGTAGTTGAATGTCTCCATAAGTACGCATTTGGTTTTCTGATTTACTTTCAATAACTTGTCTTTTAAGTGTTATTTGATTAGGTAATGTCAAAAAAAGCTGGTGTTGCTATAACCTTGTGCACCTAGAAAAAAGTCCTCACTGATCCATAATCAGGTGAAAAACAGTATTGTTTTGAAACTGTTATATTAAACCCGTTGTCTTCTACTGTATCTCATCCAGGACTATGGAATGCATGATCTCAGTTCTGACACTAATGCCGAGGACCTGAAAGAGTTGACAATAAACAGGAAGTGATAGCCGCAAATTAATTTTGACATGAACCTTGATCCATGTTAGACATGGATAGATATTTATAAAAGGTTATGTCGACCTACTACAAAGAAGTTACATTAAATCATTTGTATACATATGCGTTCAATCATCTTCATTTTTTCCTTGCCTCTTTTCTAAGAGGCAAGGAAAAGACGCAAGTGAAGGAAACATGGATGAAATTAAGAAGCTGGGCTGCACCACCAGTCATCCCACAACAGTGCTCACAAACCAGTCACATGAATGAATGGGCACTGTGTATGCACGTGTCCATCCATTTTTTTTTAACAAAAGCAAAAAGTACTTGTAGCAAATCAACAAGCTTCTGAAAATACATTATTATAAATTCAAAAACCCACCATGTTTTAATTGAAATGCTCCAGTGTTAGAAGACATTTAATGGACTACAACTTAATTCAAAGCCAATACAAAAAAACAACAATCCATTAAAACACTCCAATAAGTAAACAGGTATGACCACATACAGTGTCAAATAAATATCTGCACCTCACCTTCTGTGATGTAAAATACACCATTTCCACTTATAAATTAAGGCGGAATGCAGTTAATTCTGACTGCAAGTAAACCAAATCCACTTGCATCGTTCATGAAAATCCAACTAGACTGCTGAGTTTTCTCAGCAGTAACATAACACTAGTAAAAAACAAATCAAAGAGTCCAAGACTACTACCAATTTCTATCACCTGCACTGAGCAAGTCATGAAATATTGCACAAAGGATTGTGACACAAAAATACCATGGAAATGCTAAATCAAAAAGCACTTTTGAAATGTGAAACCTGTGGGAATTTAAATGGGGGGCCATGCAGATGAAATGGACATTTAATGAAGCAAGGTAAATTACTGCTGAAAAAACGTGTTTTTTAAAAGTGAATCTTAAAGTGTGACCAGGTAATGCTCCCCAGAATCGGTGGTAGCTCCAATACCAAGTGTCACCTGTGACATGCCAGTGATCTTTTCTAAAGGAGACATGTTTCACTGAGCAAATAACACAAAGCTATGCCCACACTAGTTAAAATAACCCCCTATTAGACAAAGGTCAGAGCGATGAGTTTGGGGCTAAAAGCCTAAAATCTTCTAGTAAACCATGTGTTGAAATATCAAACACAGCTGTTGCACAATAAACCTTGCTTCCTTTTAGTTAACTGCACAAAAGCCAGCAAGTAAAAACTAACCCAGCTATCAATCATGATCCCTAAATAGCAGGGTTTGAAATACCAAGTTTACTAAGCCAGATGTAAATACATAATCCTGACATTCAACTCACCACTGCTGAAAACACAAGTGGCTTCAGAGTTTCAGCTTATCGAGCCATCTCAGAAATGCTTCATGAAACATCTGGACAAACACTTTCCTTCTGGCGTCCGTGTAAAGTTCATATAATCTGATCTCAACTAATGTTGGTCCATATGCTGCTAATCTTCCAAAAATATAAGCCTGTCTCATAGTCCATCGGAATCGCTGGTTGCGTGACCAGGGATTTCGTAACTGCGCTGCAAATTTGCTACTAAAAAAAGACCAAAACTTCAAATCAAACCCAAGAAAGGGAAATTAAAAAAAAGAAACCAAACAAAATTTCAGCAAAACAAACAAAAATTTAATGGTTTAAGTTCAAAGTGAAACAACCAAAACAAAAGGAAGAAAAAAAACAAATCTACACTGAAAGGCAATTGGTTTCCTACAAACTTAGGACTTGTTAAAACAAGTTTGCAACTTACATAACAGATAAGCATCTATGCCTGTAGAAAGAAAAAAAAATGCTCCAAACAGAACAAAACAACAAATTAACTCAAAATGAAAAAAATAACAGAACTGCAAACTGAGCCTGAATGATATTGCTCTTAGTAAGCATCAGATATAACTTCAGTACCTCGTCAAAACATATCCACAAACTGCTCAGAAAATCTCTTCTGGGGTTATAGAATCAAATCGCTCCCTGCTTTTGGTCCATCTTATTTCTCTCCTCACTGAAGGGGGTTCATTCTCAGAGTCTCCTGAAATACAACTTAAAAAGTGACTCTTTACACAGGAATATTCTCTCCGGAGCTCATCATGTTTAAAACTGTTAGCCTGGTCAGAGGGTGAGCGAAAGTCATAGAATAACATCAAAAGACTGATATTTAGAGTAACCTAAAACAGATTGGTAAAAAGTGCTTTGCTCCTGATTGAAGAATAGAAACACAGTGGTACTGTAGGTTTGTGTGCCCACTGGATGATAATTTAAGTCATCTATTTCTAGTCATCACATCTTTTCCAAAATGAAACTACCACTGGCAACCTGTTATCTTTCTTTTGACTATAAATTATCAAGTACAATGTTGACACTGAGAACAATTTGCAGGACTTTCCTTATACCCTGTCTACATCCTTTATCTAGTCCCCCAGTTTTATATGTGTGTATTTATATAAAACACAGTATTTTAGCGTTTTAGATCATTGTCAGTGATCTTAAGAGTTTCTGTCCTCACTAAAAATGAAAACCAAGTGTCATCCATCCCCAAGCATGAGTATAACGACAAAACAAAAAGGAAAACAAAAAAAAAAAAAAGTCAGCCTAGAACCTCTTTTGACAAGTAAAAAGGTGCACAAGAGTGATTGTGTCTTAACTCTGAACACATTAAAACCCAAAATGATGTTCCAGACTTTGCAAAACTCGTGCTTCTGCTCTGAAAGAAAACCTGGCTGTGCTCACCTCCCCCTCTCTCCCCTACACATGATTGTCCAGCTCTCTCTACTTGTGGCCCTTGCTGGTCTTAAAGGACACTTGGAGTATCTTGTCTCCAAGCCGGTAGCCGTTCAGGCTGGCGATGGCCATGGCCGCCTCCTCGTAGTTCGTCATGGTAACGAAGCCGAAGCCCTTGCACTTGTTGGTGTTGAAATCTCGGATCACCTTGACGTTAGTGACAGCACCGAAGGGGCCGAACATCTGCCACAGGATGCTCTCATCGGCATCCTGGCCCAGGTTGTAGATGAAGATGCACCAGCCGGACGTGGAGTTCCCGGGAACGCTCACGCCTCCCATGCCACCCATGTGATCAACCCCCATTGGGGAGAACCTGAAAATGATCATGTTTAGAGGACTTCTGGATTTACTGACAACACTAAAACACTGTCATACAATAAAATACACAATTTCTTTATTTTATAACAGTGACCTTTTCATTTTGGGGCAGCATCTAACAATGTTTGTCCAGTTTAAAAAAGAAACTGATCAGTTAATTAATTTTTCAGCCGATAAAACATCAAAATTTGGAACCAATGCCCATCACAATATCCAAAAGCCAAAAGGTGACATATTCAAATTCAAAGATGATCAGTGTACTACCAGAAGACTAAGAAAACCAGCAAACAGAAATTTGAGATGCTAGAGGCACAACCTTTGTGATGCTTTCACTTACAGTAACAAATGATAACTGATCAGGTTAGCTGTTGCCCAATTAATAATTGCAGCTCTAGTTTATTTACTTCTGTGATATGCATCACACAACGTCTCTCACCTAAACCGCTGTGCCTGGTGGTGTAAGGGCCCTCCGAAGCGTCGGGATTGGTTGTGGTAGAGCTGAGAGAGGATTTGTGAGTTCTTCACCTGGTTTGGGTTGGCAGCAAATTTCACTGTGATTGGTTCAGAGGCGCCCGGTGGTTTTTGGCCATTCAGGTTTTTGACAGCCTCCTCTGCCTCTGCCCGTTTGTCAAACCGGATGAAAGCCACCCCGCGGGACACACCTAGGTACCAAAGAGCAGCTGGTGACTACAAGCTGCATAACTACACTTCAGGATGAATCCATCTACTCTCTAGTGGATGCTTTTTTGTCAAAGGTGTTGTGTGTTACTGAAGTGAATTTTTAAAAAGCAAGGAAGTCATTCACCTGTCTTACCTGTACCCTGATCAACAAGTACACGGGAGTTAATGATGTGCCCATAATGTGAAAACATATCCTCCACATCCTTCTGGGTCATGGACCTGGGCAGGCCGCTGATATAAAGGTTGGCATCCTTTATTGTATCAGAGCTGGGCCGTGCATATGAAACCTGCCAACAGGAAGCAACAACGTTTTGATTAAAACTCTTCCCATACACATGTACAAAACAAAGCAACATAAATAAAAAAACATGATAAATGAGCACATAACTAATCAAACTGGACATTTGAACTATTTTTGGATTACTAAATAAATTAGGCATTTCCAAGTTACATATACAAGTTACAACTTAAATGAACGGTTTTTCCATTTATCAAAACACTTTTGGTCTATATAAAATGCATTAGCAAACGTCTCCTATATGGTTTAAGGCATTAAGTCTTTCAAAAATGAGTGGTGTCAGAAGCATAAAAGAACATTACAGCAATGAAAAATGAAATCAAAATGATAGAAAAACATACTTTTTAGGAATTAAATACAGTGAACCTGGCAGAATGTGTCAAATAAAATAAGTAAAATTAAAGTCAAAATCAACAGACATGTCAGATAGGGCAGTAAGTGAGTTGTAAAAGCAGCATCACTTCTTCGGGCTGACATGTACTAGCTAGTTAGCGGACAGCACAGGAGCCACAGGAGAGTTATATGACATGACATCTTTGGTTTGAGAATTGTAGAACACCTTGTTGCACGTTACCTTGATAGTTTTGGACTGTAGCCTTAGTCCATTCAGTGTACTGATAGCTCTTTCTGCATCACTAGGGTTAAGATAGTTAACAAATCCGTACCCTAAACTGTGGCCTAGAGAAAAAAAAAAAGGAAAACAATAAAATAAAACAAAAAAACGTTGTATAGTTCAAAAAAATGCTGCAAACAAATAAATATTTAAAAACAAAAACAAATCTTAACATTGCATGGTAGTCTAAGCAAACCAAGAAAGTGTCTACAGTTAAACAGGGTTGGACTGGTGGGAATAAATAAAACAAGTCTATGCTGGTCAAGCACTAGGTAAACTATGCAACTCAAACAGGAAATCTATCTGGGATATCTTTCAAATTAATAAAAAAATAAATAAATCACAGTAAAAACCAGAAAACATGCCTGTAGTACATATCCTGCCAATAAAGATAAGGCCAGCTGAAAATGGGCGAGTCCAACCGTTTGTCCAAATCTTAAAAGCTGAGCCACCACTAATAAATTCACAGGCTGTTGCCACAACTTGTTTGTTTTGCCAAATCTGCAAAGGAACCCCTTGCCATTTAAAACTAAATCTTGCGTTTAAGCGTTGATCTGGTCTGTCACAGCTCTCATCGCTTCAGAGCACAGCATACCTGCGACTTTGTCTCGGATCAGCTTGGCAGACTCCACCTCTCCGATGCTGCTGAAGAGGCTCCGCAGCTCCTCCTGCGTCATGTTTTGAGGAAGGTAGTTCACTATCAGGTTGGTCTTGGCGTCCTTCCCCTCATCGCCTCCCATGTGGTCTTCATAACCGTTTGACATGTCATACACCTCCTGTAGGTCAGTCAGGTGGGCCGAAAAAACACAAAGCAAGGTAAGTACAAAGAGCTAGAAATGACAACTATGATCTGATTGTTTGATTTGAATTGACTGGCAACTATTTACATTGCCAACTAATCATTAGTCATTTTTCAAGTAAAAATGCCAAACTTGTTTGCTCCATCCTCTCAAATAATACAATTTATTGTTTTTCTTTTTCATATGACAACTTAAAGTATCTTTAGATTTCAGACTGCTAGTGAATAAAATAGCACAAAACTAGGAATTTATAATGGGCATACTTCTGAAAAAAGAATCATAATAATCTTAAATCAACTGCAACAGTAACCAACAGAATGCACCAACTGTAAACATTGCAAACGCTTCTGCTGCCCACTTCACACCTACACGGGCAAAAAAATAAGCACACCTTCTAAAGGAAATCAATACAAACCAAATGAAACTGTTGCCTGCTCTTCAGCTGTGCATAAATGTTCTATAATTTATACTCTTCAGGCTTCACTGACTGCGCCTCTGCCAACCCCATGACATCAGCAAGTACAATGACAACAGGCAAAAGAATGCAATCTAAAATTGGCCCATTTTTATCAAATATTTTAATTTCAAAATCATTCAATGTTTTATCCAACCTCTAGTCTTTAGAAAAGATGAGTCTAGTTGTGGTTACTTTCAAGAGATATGCAAATTCATGAGAAGCAGAGATTAAATCAGTTGAGTGAAGCAACATTCTGCAAGAGCTGTCGCTGACTGGTTAAAACCAGACACTGTTACTGCTTCGGCTTATGCACCACTTTGTTCATTAAAAAAGGAAAGCACTGTAGTGGTGATATTAGTAGGAAAAGTGGATATTTCTTTATTTTTATTCACTTAATTTAACAACCATTTTAACAGAGAGAATGCACGTGTGAATGAGCTACAAACACGAGTGACTCGGATAGAGTGAGCTGCCATTAGAGAAAACATAAGTGAAAAAGAATTTCATTTCTTTCTGAAGCAGAGATAAACACATAAATGCTCAGCATGATGTTTACTTTGCCACCTCTCATTCATTCTCTCCACAGTAAATGAATCAAAACAGCAGGGTAACCAGCTGTTGAAAATGTCCTTATTGGTTGTGCTGCCATTTTTTAAGTCGTTCATCCAATGTGCCAAATCTTCAAAGTTCTTCAGATGCAGTAGAAATAAACAGTAATGTGAAAAGGGGATTTTGGTTTGGTTCCTGATTCAACAGCTTGGTCTTAGTATAGTGTCTTACACTAAGCCAAAGTGAAACAGAAACCACAGCATACAAAAAAAAGGCCACACACAAAAGGTTTGCATTTGCAAAGTGGTAACACCTTTATGTCCACATTACCCCAGTGACATGGAGGATTAGATTCTGGTGAGGCAACCAGTCTGAGGGGTCAAAGATTAGTTTAAGTGACCATGTTAAATGGAGTCCGACTTTAAAACTGTTTTTCTTATAAGTGGCTTCCCCCATGTGTTCAGCAGAGTGCATCCTGGTGGACACATTTGCTGGTGGCTTAAGTGGACTCAGGCCTAAAATGGGACCTGTGCAGCCGTCAACCTGAGAGAGGGCCATTCATGCAAAAGAAGGGTTGTGATTGTGTATTCTGGTGGGTACGATACACTGTCTGAAAGGATTAACACATTAAGCATGGCCCTAGCTAATGTGAGGTGGCATTCATGGACCTTTGGTTACGCTGAGTTTAGCGCCATCTCATTGTGAAAGAACATTAAATCCAGCCAAATAACATACAGTATCTTTTACAATGTTTCCTATAGATCAAGAGGTTTTACCTGGTGGCAAGGTCCCTCGAGCAGGGGATGGGGACAGCTGGGGGTTTGGGTGTGTGTCCGTGTTCCCTCTATAGAGGTGAACAAACACTTAATAATTATATTGATTAATATAGGCTAGTTACTTTTCAGTGACAGATATAATCTAAGTGTTTTTAACAGTCGCAAAACTAAGTTCTCAACAGTTCACTGGTCAGTGCTTCACTCAAAAACATAACCACAGCCCAACTGAAAGCGAGGTGTTCAGTCTCAGATCAGCTGTCAGTCATCAGCTCCTGATGAGCGGTAAGGACAGCAGACAGACTTCACAAGGCCAACTGACAACAATATTTTTTATGTAGGTCTTATGTACCAAATCATAACAAACAACAGTTTAAAAAAAGTTTAACATAAAATACCTGAGGACTTGGGTGATTTAAACAGCAGTGTGTGGAGATTACACTGCACTCAATGCACCAGACAAAATACACCTGAAGCATAAATGAGTGATGTGTGGCTCACACATGCACATGTCAGGGAGACATTTCATAGAATGGAGTTCTATCTGTTGTGTGAAAAATGCATCTAAATGCATCAGCCACATAAACACCGGATCACATTCAGCCGATAAGATCACAAACGGCAGTCTTATGTGAATCGGAGCTAGGATCTGATACTCACTTTCAAGTACTTAATGTGTCCTCGACGAACTGCCATGAAGACACTTCACTGCTCCTGAGGCTGGGTGAGGATAAGGGGGGGGGGGGACACAACAACTATCAATGTGGCAGAGAGCAGACAAGCAAATCTTTTGTGTGAATTAACAAAATGATTAAGTATAACCGCCAACCACAACCACCTAATAAGTGCTTGTAGCTTAAACCAGTGCAGCTAAATAAAGCAGTCAGTCTCATGTTATGGATAAATGAAATAAAACAGGATGTACAAAAAAGGTGGCCAATCATTTCCTCTCACACCACCAGTGATGCAAACACAGGGTACATCCATCTTTTTAATTTCTAGTTTATTTGTTTTACAACTGTATTAAATGTTGCTTCCAAAATAGTGTGGTCATGGTAAACGAACAGAGAAAACATTGATTGTCAAGGGGAAAAAGATACAACTATTTTCAGAGTTCACCAAGTTAAAATGAAAACTAATTCTCCAATACCATGTAGAAAGCTATTCATACCTAATTATACCCAATACACTTCTTCTATACTTCTTATTAATAGGCTATAACAATAATTTAAAACTGTTAAAATTATTGCCCAACCTGGCCTCATAAAATGGATAGATTAACCAATGATAAATGATTAACATATGTTCAAGGTCAGAATGAGAATCAGCTTTATTGGCCAGGTGTGTCTGACACATGAGGAATTTGACTCTGGTACATCGGCTCTCAATGTGTATGTACATATCCCCATACAAGGGGCAAATAAACAGTAAACCAGCATAAGGCTGTGTAAGATGACAAAATAAGCAGTATTAATAAGCAACAAACAGTGCAAACAATGCAAAATAAGCTGTATAAGCAGGCAGTAAACAATGCAGAGAGACGAAGGAACGCCCATTGAAGTGAGATAAATAGGAATAAAAATAGAGTACTTAAAAATAAAGACCTGTACGGATCTGTATAATCTGTACAATGTATATTTGCAGGTATTGCACTGAGAATTATTGTCCAGTCATACTGTCGTGGGTCAAGTGTTCATCAAGGTATGAAAATTTTGTGAACAGAATTTAAGAGTTTACCTTCTGATGTTTTTTTTAAATTTTGTAGAAAATGTAATTGTTATTTTAAAGACTTAAACACCTACAGACACATTGAATTTCAAAGGGAGGGGGAAAAGCAAACACATGATGCAAGTTCCCATGCACTACATTGTCTAAAAGACGACAACAACAAAAGCAGTACATTCCTGAAACATAAACATTCACTAATTAAGCACTGGTTAGCAGATGAAGAGAACAATGGTATATTATGATGCTTCTACATTTTACAAGCAATTAGTAGTAAGTAATGAGCTCCAGCGCTACAAAGCTTTGAGTTGTAATCCAGTGGCGATAGCAACACCAAACTGGACCTACTGCGACAGTGCTGTTAGGTCTGAATATTTAAATGAGCAACTTCATGTGGAAATCATGTATGTCACACAACGTCACCTGCTTTCTCCACAGCAGCCTGACACTAGTACTTCAACTGCAATAAAATGGCAGCTGAAACAGTCTACTTGTTTCTTTAGTATTAGAAGTTAGGGTATTCTACAGGGCTACGAAAAGGCGACATCGCTTACAACGTAACGTCAAACACTGGGCCGGCTAACATCAAAAATAATACAAAAATAGTTGAGCATGGTGTTCCGCTGCAGCAAAATCAGTTTAATCTGTGAATCTTTGTTTTTTTTTTTAACCGGTCAACACTGCATCAGTTCACGAGCCGAAGAAACGTGCAAAGGCCTAACTAGCATTGATAGCATTAGCAAGTTAGCAGCTACATGCTCACTGCCATCTCTGATTACGACGCTGAACATGTTCAATTAGATTTGACAAAAACAGCGAACAAATTCACCTTTCGAAATATTCATGCACACAAAGTACCACCGTCATTCGCATTACGTAACTTAATAGAGGTAGGATACGTGACAGTTTCTTGCTGCCTAGCTAAGGTAAAGCACCGTAGCCTTATTTTCGAAAGCGTCGGATCAATGCATTTCTGTCCCCGCGCCTAAACCCCAGCGGCCTGCTAACAGGCCATAGCAGCTAATGCTAGCCACCGCCAGCTAACCAAGGGCCGCAAGGGTTGCATGGCAGTCATTTAACACACCTACAAACATCTACATTTACAGTTATCCAGCCGAGGAGCGCCAGGAAACACATGTCAATGTTTTAAATCTTACCAGCGTGTTGGAAGATAGTTTCTGTTTCTGCTTTCTTCTCCAAGCAACTTTCACTTCCCTCCAAATCGGCCTCACGTAGAACACGAGAAAGGAGTACGCGATGAAGACGCCACGCCCCTGGCGTCCGGCCACGCCTCTGCAGAGGAGACGCACGAAAAGCACTGGGAAAACACGCATCTTGGAGCATAAAATTGCAATAGGTAGAAATCACTTTAAGTCATCAGCTGGCAATTCAGTCTCAGTATTGTCATTCTGTGCCATCTAACAGATTACAGGGCCTGGTGACACTTTGGTATTTATCGATAGGCTATCTATATCACTTATAAACATCAGAAGACCACTGGATTTTTCACAGGTGGGATCTGGATGAGGAGTGATGCTATTGTCCTTAAATTTTTCATCTGGGCATTTTAGTTTGCGTTTTTGTTTTTTGTTCTTGTATGTATATGAGTGCATAAAAGACTGAGAGCTCATATGGCGATGGATGGGGATTGCATATATTTAAATGTACTGCTTGTGTAAATATCAAATATTCTGATAAAGTAAATTCTCACATAAAAATGCTGCACAATTCATGTCTCCAGCTTCTCAAATGTGAGGGTTTGCCACATTTCCTTCTATTTTTAATCATTTTTCTTACTTTTTTAAAACAATACAAGCATTGTGCTGATGTGAGATTAATTTATAAGGGAAACAATTAGTTGTAGGCCATTTACAACTAAAATGTTGCTTACACATTAATACATGAATGACCAATAGTTGCTTAAGGTGACAATCAAATTTAGTTTTAGTTTATTTTCTTGTCCCATCTGAAAAATGTGTTCTGTCTCTGTGGCAATTTCAAACAAATACAAGAAAAAGTTACACATACAGTGCAAAAGTTGCCCTGTATACAATAACAACATACCAACAATCAAATATCAGAAACAACACTGCAAGGATAAACATCTAAATACAAACCATGATATCACATTGATTTGTTAAACAGTGCATGAATGAGCTCCAGGCATGTGTAGACAAACATTCTTGTTCTTCCAGCCTGGTGGCTACATCTCATATTCACCACTATTGCCCATTTATTGCCACTCAGGCATATCAACAACATTATGGAACTAAAAATACACACAGTAGACTGAATAGCGCTAGAAAATATTTAAAACAATAATGAGCCTTATGTTGTAATATTGTATAAAGTACAATGCTGGTCCATTTGTCACAGTGTCTTTACTGCCAGTCCAATATTTGATATTCCACCAAAGACTGATATTTCATCAGCTGTGCCACAGTCACAAGCACAACAACCTGCATGATAAAAAAAAAGAAAAGAGAAGATGATTTTGGTTAGCTGCCAAACTAAACAATACTCAGTAATTAAGTTCAGACATTTTTTCATTGGAATAATTAAATGTCATGGTACTGTAACAAGACAATTGATCTAAATGGTTACAAAATATTGATTTGTGAAAGCACAACTGACTGTAAAACAGCCTATTAAGGGATTTTGTGTCTCTCTGGTAGAATATTGTTCATCCCAAAATGCTAGAAATTTGTGATGGGTATTTTCTTTTGACATTTTATAGACCAAAAGGTTAATCAAGAAAGTAATTGTCAGAATAATCAATAACGAAAATAATCATAAGCTGCAGCCATAGTACACTAACTGGCTAACAAAAAAGCCACACAAAAAGAGCAAATAGCTGTTGAACATAGTGGTTTTGGCAGCTAAGGGGTCAGAAATATCCCTCAGGAGTTGGTGGAGACCAAATCAGAGTTACCAGAATGGATTTTGGACTTAGATTCCCTAGGTGGTCAAAAACATTACAAATTAATAATGATGCTAAGTTTGTCTGATGTCTCCATAAGTGACTGTTTAGTAGTTGTAACTGTATAAGATGGCTAAAATAAAACAAAATAGCCAATTAATGCTACTTTAAGAAGCCACCAATCTAATATTAGCAAACGCTCCTATGTATCTGTGTGTTATTCAGTCAGTGTTTACTTTATATCAAGTTTATACAAGATACACAGTCTGAAAATGTTAAGTTTTTTGCACCTCAACTGGGAAAACCACTGTGAAACCCCAAAGGATCAAACTCAGCACGACCTGTAAAGTTGTCTCCAGCTCCACCTGGCAGCCCTGAAAGAGAGAGACATTTGAAAAGACAAACAGAGACTGCAATTCAGATATTCATGCTGGAGTGGTTTTATGTGTATGAGTGTTGACTTTAGACACACACGTCTACCTGTGCGTTAAGCTCCCATGGCTGGTCCACTGTGCCATTGCAGGAGGGGAAAGTTGAGTTACAACAACTGTGAGGAAACCTGAGGCCTCCAGTACTGTTAAACCAGGGGGTTTTCAGCCAGTCCCTGTAGTCATGGACACCACAACACCGAAACTGACAGGAATCAAAACACAAACTACCCAGTCACTATAAATCAGTATAAAATCTGGTAAATCTTGAATCCTGGAAAAAGATCTCCAGGCAACCTGAGAGTTACTGTGGTCAGGATTTTGGTTCATTTTTTTCTGTGATGGCACCACAACTTCATGCATGGATGATCTGGGAGTCAGGTTTGGGTTTTGTGGAGATGAGATGTAGCAAGTGAGGGCCAACTATCACAACTGAATGTGCAGTAGCTTGAGACATTTGTCAGTCAAAACAAACCTCCCAAAAACCTTTTTTTAAGCCTAAATATCCTGGTGACTGTGGACAGATGGTGAAACATGGGGCCCCCAGACACAGACTCTCATTTGGTGTGTCTTTGTAGTCATTTTGCATCTCTTTGTGGTTGTCTGGTGTCTCATTGTAGTCATTTTGTATCTACTTATGGTTGTTTCACACCATTTTGTTGGCATTTTGTGTTTCTTTCCGATTACTTGTCTCTTTAGTCACAGGTGGAAGTACACTCCAGGGGTTCAACACTCAGCTACAGTTGTTTATGCTTGTTTTCATGTCTCTGGTACTTGCATTGCAGCTGTTTTTGGATAACGTTCATAATGTTGCAGATTTTTTTTAGATGCTGCATTGTTTTTCACATTTTGCAGAAACATGCTAAGGGTTTGTGGATGCCTATAAGACTCAGTTCACAAATGATGACTGAAGACACACCTCCTCTTGTGTAGTATCCACAGCTTGAGAGTAGGGGTCCTGGCTGCTGCCTGTGTATTTCTGAAACACTTGACTCGGGGGAGCTATCTCTGACTCCAGCTTAACAGAAAGGCAGAAGACACAGAAACATGTATTTTATACAGCAGAATAATCTAACACATCAGCTAATAACTGTCCATTGCACATGAATGTGTGTGTATTTTTCATACCTTTTTAGAGTGGAAATAAGCCAAAGCTGATGCTGTACTTCCCAGACAAAAGACCACAACCAGCAGAAAAACAAACTGCAGAAGAGACATGTTTATTATGCACAGTCACAACACTGATGCACACATAAAAACATACATTCGTACACACGATTACGGTAATTACCAGCCCCAGGAGAAAGGTGGACTGCTTGAAGCTTATACAAGTGCCCAGAAACCCAGTGGCCAATAGGAACACAGCGCAGGCAAGAGTGAGGGCAGCTGGCAGGATGATGTAGCTGTGAGAAAAAAATAAGCTGCTCTGTCTGTACTTCATCAACAGGAAGATTCCACTCAGGCCCGCCACGAACCCCATCACCTGGCACAGAAAGAAAGGTTCATATTCTAGCCTTTGTTTTTTTTTTTTTATTCACTATTACTCAACACAGCAGTGTGAATATGTTGCATCTGTACTCACTGAGACCAAGAATCTATCAAGACAGACTATTGCTACAAGGCTTCAGATATGACACTACTTCATCAAAAGTAATGGCACCATAATGCTGCCTAGACACCTTGACTCCAGGATCAGGACAGTCTATACATCAAGGACCATAGTGAAGTTTTGAACTTTCTGTGCTACTTGACCTCCCTGTCATTGTGTCATATTGATTTAATTAAATAAACTAATCATATCTGTGTGTTAGACATGAGGCTGGGGCAAAGAGATTGTTAGCTTAGCTTAGCATATAGACTGGAAACACCTAGCCTAGCTCTGTCTAAAAACCTAAGTGTAACAACAAGAACTTATGGTTTTATGGAGGTTTTTAGTAGGAAACAGTAATGAAATAGCCTGACACACAGTCCCCTTTAAAACAGCAGCTTGTTTTTATACTTTGGTTTTGTGTTGATTTTGATTAAACAAACAACTTATGTTAATTAGTGAGCCTTAGAGGTGCTAGTGGACTTATTGTATTACCTCTGAACTGAGCCAGGTTAACTATTTCTCCTGCTCCCAGTCTTAATCCAAAGCTCAGACAAACAGCTGCTGATTCTAGCTTTAAAAAGATGTGAGTGTAGTATTGACATTCTCTTCTAACCTCCAGCAGAAAGGTGAATGGGGTTTTAAAAATGTTAGTTCTTTAAAACAAACTTCATTTATTCAGTGCTACCTTTTGCACTACAGACACCTCATAATAGGCTATGGGAATCATAAAAATAATAATAATATAATATGCTATGCAGCACAGTAAGATAAAATTAAAGAAACTAGGTGTGTGTGTGTGTGTGTTCATACTAGACCGTCTCTTAAAAAAAAAAAAAAAAACACGTGGTACACACGTCTTGTCACATGATTTGTGACACTCAATCATAAACAAGTATATTTTATGTAATACACATTTAATTGGGGTGATTTTGTCTGCGATACTTGTACTTCTGTTTTGATATTATTTTATTTAAACTGAATAAATCAATAATTTGCACAAATGTTAACCTCATTCATAATTGCATAAATGATCATTAAATTACCCTAAAGTTACTGAAAATCCAGTATCACGGGCTACAGTGAAGCTAAAATGGTTACTTTATGTACAGTAGCGAAAAAGTCTCGCCTACCCACAGAAGCTGACACGCCAGCAGGAGAAGTACTCTGCAAACTTTTCTCATTTTCAGTAGCGCCAGCGAGGAACGAGTGCGCAATAATCGATCGACGCAACCTCCGGGTGCGTTAACGTAAGGACGGCTCAATAAGCTGTTATGTAGGCTAAAGGAAATACAGCCTGTTGGTTGAAGCGAGCTGTAGGTGCGCGAGTTTTCAGGGCGCACACACCAGTGCAACTTTTCTTCCGCAATGGTCAAACATCAACTTCGTCAAAGAATGCGGAAACATCTGTGTGGTTTGCGGTGGCAATGCAACACAACGGCTTCGACTTTAACGAGAATTATTGCAGTGATTGTATTATGAATTACAGTTAAGCTATGTGTGGAGAACTGTGGTGTGAGAGAACTGTGACTTTATGGGTGTAAAACCTGAGGCAAGGAGAGTAGATCCTGCACAGGACCTGGACATCCTGTGCATGATGGGCAGTGATGCTTATTATTCAAATGGACCCATTAGTACTGTTAACAGTTTACTGCGTGTGCTTGTGTCATAGCAGTGAGTTACAGTGAGGGTTTAACCATCCTACAGCAGACCAACACTGCCCTCATGTGAAGTTAAGCGAAATAATTACAAAAAGAGAGTTGAACAGTTTCATGTAGGTCTGGAGCAGGCCGTCCAATGCAAACTAAAGTATTTAAAACCTTTGGCACCTGCAGTTTGCCAAAAAGCACCTTGACACTCTATGACAATGTTTGTGGACTGGTCAAACTAAGGTTGAGTTGTTTGAGGGGAGCATACACTGGTGCACTGCATACAAACACAGCAACATCATCCCAGACAGAATCATGTCAGGGTGGCTGTCCACCAGCTGAAGCTCAGGAGAAGTAGAAGGATGCAGCTGGACAATGACCCTAAACATCGAAGCAAATCCACTACAGAATGACAATGAGAGAGCTGTTCACAGACACGGTGGAGGATTCAGAGCTACAGTTATTCAATTCAAGGGGTCACTTAATTTTTCCACCATCACTGTCAGTATTAAATGACTGTGTTCAATAGAGACACAAAATATTATGAATGTCTGTTCCTTGAAATTTAATGCACAGCTTAGCTGTTCAGTGGACAGTGTCAGAGTCTCTTCCTCTTTTGTAACAGCTCAGTGTCTCTGCAGTCTGACTGAGGGAGGTTTTTGTACCACTGAAAATCACTGTGTGAACACCCAAGCACTGTTAATGTAATGGTAACTCTGACAGTAGTAAACTGCTGCATCTTCAGCCTGAACTCCACTGATGGTCAAAGCAGCGTTCACTCCGTCTCCTCTTCCACTGAAACGCGCTGGAACTCCACCACCAGATGGTTTGTTTATACCACTATAAATCAGCAGTTTAGGGGCTTGTCCAGATTTCTGTTGATACCACTCTACGCTACTATTTCCATCTGACCATGTATCAACCTCTGGGCTGGTTTTACAGGTCAGAGTGACTGTAGATCCAGGAGATGTTGTTGCCACAGGAGGCTGAGTCACAGTGACTTTTACAATTTTCAGCATCTGAATAAAAGTTGTGTCACTGTGGGGTTAGTATATTAATTCTCTGTTTGTACTTAGGACATTTAGATATACATAATGACAAAAACTACATGTTATAGATATTTTACATAGGTAATAGTATTTTTGATTTTGTAATTCAATAATCTTTTAAACATCCTGTTTTGCAGTTTTTCAAATGGTGTAAAATTCTTTTGTTAATCAGGAAAAATGAACAAGTTGCTTCTCAAATGTAAAAAGTTACAAAAAATGATGATTTAAATGATTTTGATTCTTGTAGCAGTTTCAAGATTATTTCACATGACAAAACAAGTTTTAATTTGTGTTTTATTAACAAAACCCTCATTAGTTTCTCATTTCCTCGCTCCCCTCCTGTGTCTGACCTCAGCATCCTGCACTCAGCTAATCCACAGTGTCGACCTCTGTCATGTGTCATACCTGTCTCATGTTCAGCGGTCTGTCCTACAGTGGAGGTTAATCTGCTCCTTGTGTGTCTCTGCTCCCCCCTCCAGCTGGCTCCATGGTCAGGCCCTCAGTCTCTCTGCTTCCCCCCTCCTCTGAGCAGCTCTCCGGGGGCTCGGCCACACTGGCCTGCCTGCTGACTGGCTACTCTCCTCAGGGAGCTGTGGTCAGCTGGGAGGTGGATGGTACCGAGGTGACAGAGGGCGTCCTGACCAGCTCAGAGGAGGAGAAGAGCGGATGGAAGGAGAGCTGTACTTCTGCAAGGTCCTCCATCATGACCACAGCCAGACCCAGTCCCTCCACAGGAGCCAGTGTCAGGGCTAGAGGGGGCTGGCTGAAGCCCAGGACAGGAGCTCTGTCAGGGGCAGCAGGAGGAACACACCTGCTGCTCTGGTCACTATGAGTTTGGATGTTTGTAGAGGAAACTAAAGCTTTGTGTGACAGAGAACAACACTGCTATAAAATGTTGGACAACAACAACGTAGAGAGTCATGTGTGGAGCTCAGCAGCTAGTTGTGCTTAATAACTGTTGTGTTTTGTGTTTTTGCTAATAAAGCTTGGACTGATACAAAACATGAGGTGTTTTTGGTCTATTATGTAATCAAATCAAATATATTTATATAGTACTTTAAAAACAACATCCAGTTGACCAAAGAACTTTACCTGGCAGAATAAAATCACAATAAATAACTAAAATAAAATAAATAAGATCAGTGCAAAAAATAAAACAGCACAATAACAGACACACAGATGACATGCATTCAATACATTAAAATTAAAAGGAATGCATCAAGCCCTACTGTGTATTAAAACCCAAGACAAATAAATATGTTTTAAGCAATGATTTAAAAGTATTGAGGTCAGTAGCTGACCTAACATTATAAGGTAGACTATTCTACAAATTAGGGGCTGCAACAGTAAAAGCACAGTCACCCAAACATTTATATCTGGTCCTAGAAACCTCTAAAAGAAACTGGCTTGAAGATCTGTAATGCAAAAATGTAAAAAAAAAAAATTACAACTTTTATAACTTCATCTGATTCTTCTTTTTGTGGAAAATTAGAAGACTGAATGGATTTAAGTGATCCAGTAGATATGCAATGTAATTTATTTTTAAAGTAAAAGACAATTGTATCACAACAATGAGGAAAGTAGAGTACTATATGTGAATCAGATTGTGACAATATTTTTAACAAAAACAATATATTTATTAATGTGAATGTGTCTTTAGTGCTTGGTGACTGTCAGCTCTGTGTTCAGTGGTCTGTGTCAGTCTCTTCCTCTTCAGTAGCTGCAGTTGGTTCCTGCTGTAACAGCTCAGTGTCTCTGCAGTCTGACTGAGGGAGGTTTTTGTACGGCTGAAAATCACTGTGTGAACACCCAAGGACTGCTATGCACATGTGCACTCTGACAGTAGTAAACTGCTGCATCTTCAGCCTGAACTCCACTGATGGTCAAAGAAAAGTCACTGCCTGTTCCACTGCCACTAAACCGGTCTGGAGTTCCTGATTCACGTGTGCTCGCATGTCTTATTAGGAGCTTTGGAGGCTGCCCATATTTCTGTTGATACCAGAACATACACTGCGCACCACTACAGGTTCCGACAGCTCGGTTGGTTTTACAGGTCAGAGTGACTGTAGATCCAGGAGAAGTTGTTGCCACAGGAGGCTGAGTCACAGTGACTTGACCACTGGATCCTGAAAAACAAAGAGGGAGAACACTGAACATTAACTGACTTACTGTACATTAAGATGAAGCTTATTCAGGTTTGTTCTATCCACTGATTGCTCTATGATTTTCACTGCTATTGCTGGTACAGTTACTTTCTAGTTCTATGTCTGAAATGATCCTGACCTGTAAAACAGCAGCAGACCAGCGTCCAGACGAGGATGGTGATGAGAGTCATGGTGGTTGTGGTTCCTGCTGTGTCGACTGACAGATCTGAGTCCTGCAGCGTTGAACTCACAGGACTATAAACCTTCTCAGTTCACTGGAGGATCAGCTGACGATGCAAAGCCTCCTCTCTATGGAAATGATTTCTCTGCTCTCAACACAGTGAAGGCAACGTGGGACACAAGAGAAGGAGAAACACTGTCTGGATTTACACCATCTGGGATTTTAATGGAATAGAGGAAAATGATTTATGTTAGAAGTGGAGCTGTGGATTTAAAGACAAGTTTATGTCCACAGAGGCTAATGTGATGTTTGTCTGCCTTTAATTTACTGTAGTGTCGATAAATAATATACAGTATGTTAGTGCTTCATATATATTTTCCTAAATTTTTCAGATTAAAAATAACATTTTCATTTTAATCATGTTTAAACTGACAAAAGAAAATGGGAAAAATAACAGACTTTTTTGAAATCACACTGTTACTGTTTTGGTGTCAGGTGTAGAAAAGAAAACAATATTTAAAGAAATTGTCTTAATTCCTAAAAGAATTTCCATTCATTTTATTGCAACTTAATTTTAGTTCATTCATTTAGCACATTCAATTAATTATAAATGTTACTCTATTAATATAAACAAAGGTTTTTCTTAGTGGACAAAATCTTCCTGACATTGATCTTTGTTCTCTATTCATATAAATCCCACTACAGTAAAAGTCTAAAACTGTTTAGTTGTTTTCTGTTGCTAATTTCCTGCATAAGTACAAAACATTTTCATGTGAGGATGTCCACCCACCAGCCTCCCATCAGGGGCGTATCAAGCTTTTTAAAAGTGTGGGGGATGAGGTTTTGTCTGGGGTGGGGGGTATCTGAGCAAGACTGAAGCTGAATGCAACTAAATGTGTTTTACAGATTTCTCTTATTTATGACATATAGAGTTTACCTACCTCTAAATAGAGTTTGTACCAAATTCAACCAGGACATTCAATATTCTGCTTGCTATCATTTTCAGCACAACACAGCTATAACTTAGTGTTTCTGAATTACACTGCATTATGTACATTTTATGCCCAAACCTGATCAAGACTGTAAGACCCATTTATGCCACTCACTCATATTGTTACAGTTTACCCACCTCTTTTTTTCAGCACACCCCTGATTCTTAAGTTGAAGAAATAAATTCTCTGTATTAATTTATTCTGTAGAAAAAGGTCAGCTACAAATTGAAACTCTTGTGTAATATAATTTTAAATATTTTCATTTAAACAAACTGATGAAGTTTAATGCTTAAAGTATTGTTTACAGTTGGTTACAATTGCACAAAAACGTTGGATATTGCCAACATGGCATGAAAACCAACTGGTCTGAACATTTAACATTGGAAACTTCACTCAGCTCAGTTAAAAGAACCAAAAGTGCTCTTCCTGTTTTCCTGATTAGCAATCATTTTTCTGTTCACCCTATCCAGCTTGTCTTTATGTGCATGGCACACAGCAACACTGTTGAGGTGGGTTTGGGTCATGGTGCTCACCTTCATCCTAATCAAAACATTTAAAAGGAAACTGTGGAATTTTATATCCATCCACCAGAAACACGCTCAAACACACACAATTTGCCTCTGTTCCTTAAATAAATCTCTTTCAAAAACTGTAACTTCACAAAAACAGGATGAGGCATTTTAATCCTACATGTATTCATTGCTCACCTGTGAACCTCCCTGTGCTCCCTCTGAAACAACTCAGGTCTCTGGCAACTGACTGTCCTACAAAAGCAGGGTGATAAAGGATAAGATTTAATTTTCATCCTCAAGATTAGCCTACCTTAATTAATGCCCACCTACAGAACATTAAGGAATCACTTACAAGAGATCTTTTGAA